GCGGTGGTAATGTTAGACTAGGACACTCTAGAGAGGCGGTGGTAATGTTAGACTAGGACACTCTAGAGAGGCGGTGGTAATGTTAGACTAGGACACTCTAGAGAGGCGATGGTAATGTTAGACTAGGGCACTCTAGAGAGGCGGTGGTAATGTTAGACTAGGGCACTCTAGAGAGGCGGTGGTAATGTTAGACTAGGGCACTCTAGAGAGTCAGTGGTAATGTTAGACTAGGACACTCTAGAGAGGCGATGGTAATGTTAGACTAGGACACTCTAGAGAGGCGGTGGTAATGTTAGACTAGGACACTCTAGAGAGGCGGTGGTAATGTTAGACTAGGACACTCTAGAGAGGCGGTGGTAATGTTAGACTAGGACACTCTAGAGAGGCGGTGGTAATGTTAGACTAGGGCACTCTAGAGAGGCGATGGTAATGTTAGACTAGGGCACTCTAGAGAGGCGGTGGTAATGTTAGACTAGGACACTCTAGAGAGGCGGTGGTAATGTTAGACTAGGGCATTCTAGAGAGGCGGTGGTAATGTTAGACTAGGACACTCTAGAGAGGCGGTGGTAATGTTAGACTAGGACACTCTAGAGAGGCGGTGGTAATGTTAGACTAGGGCACTCTAGAGAGGCGGTGGTAATGTTAGACTAGGACACTCTAGAGAGGCGATGGTAATGTTAGACTAGGGCACTCTAGAGAGGCGATGGTAATGTTAGACTAGGACACTCTAGAGAGGCGATGGTAATGTTAGACTAGGGCACTCTAGAGAGGCGGTGGTAATGTTAGACTAGGACACTCTAGAGAGGCGGTGGTAATGTTAGACTAGGACACTCTAGAGAGGCGGTGGTAATGTTAGACTAGGGCACTCTAGAGAGGCGATGGTAATGTTAGACTAGGGCACTCTAGAGAGGCGGTGGTAATGTTAGACTAGGGCACTCTAGAGAGGCGATGGTAATGTTAGACTAGGACACTCTAGAGAGGCGGTGGTAATGTTAGACTAGGGCACTCTAGAGAGGCGGTGGTAATGTTAGACTAGGACACTCTAGAGAGGCGGTGGTAATGTTAGACTAGGGCACTCTAGAGAGGCGATGGTAATGTTAGACTAGGGCACTCTAGAGAGGCGGTGGTAATGTTAGACTAGGGCACTCTAGAGAGGCGATGGTAATGTTAGACTAGGGCACTCTAGAGAGGCGATGGTAATGTTAGACTAGGGCACTCTAGAGAGGCGATGGTAATGTTAGACTAGGGCACTCTAGCGAGTCAGTGGTAATGTTAGACTAGGGCACTCTAGAGAGGCGATGGTAATGTTAGACTAGGGCACTCTAGAGAGGCGGTGGTAATGTTAGACTAGGGCACTCTAGAGAGGCGATGGTAATGTTAGACTAGGGCACTCTAGAGAGGCGGTGGTAATGTTAGACTAGGGCACTCTAGAGAGGCGATGGTAATGTTAGACTAGGGCACTCTAGCGAGTCAGTGTTAGACTAGGACACTCTAGAGAGGCGGTGGTAATGTTAGACTAGGACACTCTAGAGAGGCGGTGGTAATGTTAGACTAGGGCACTCTAGAGAGGCGGTGGTAATGTTAGACTAGGACACTCTAGAGAGGCGATGGTAATGTTAGACTAGGACACTCTAGAGAGGCGGTGGTAATGTTAGACTAGGGCACTCTAGAGAGGCGGTGGTAATGTTAGACTAGGACACTCTAGAGAGGCGATGGTAATGTTAGACTAGGACACTCTAGAGAGGCGGTGGTAATGTTAGACTAGGACACTCTAGAGAGGCGATGGTAATGTTAGACTAGGGCACTCTAGAGAGGCGGTGGTAATGTTAGACTAGGGCACTATAGAGAGGCGGTGGTAATGTTAGACTAGGGCACTCTAGAGAGGCGATGGTAATGTTAGAATAGAGCTCTAGAGAGGCGATGGTAATGTTAGACTAGGGCACTCTAGAGAGGCGGTGGTAATGTTAGACTAGGGCACTCTAGAGAGGCAGTGGTAATGTTAGACTAGGGCACTCTAGAGAGGCAGTGGTAATGTTAGACTAGGGCACTCTAGAGAGGCAGTGTTAATGTTAGACTAGGGCACTCTAGAGAGGCGGTGGTAATGTTAGACTAGGACACTCTAGAGAGGCGGTGGTAATGTTAGACTAGGGCAGGGCACTCTAGAGAGTCAGTGGTAATGTTAGACTAGGGCACTCTAGAGAGGCAGTGGTAATGTTAGACTAGGGCACTCTAGAGAGGCAGTGGTAATGTTAGACTAGGGCACTCTAGAGAGGCAGTGGTAATGTTAGACTAGGGCACTCTAGAGAGGCGATGGTAATGTTAGACTCGGGCACTCTAGAGAGGCGATGGTAATGTTAGACTAGGGCACTCTAGAGAGGCGGTGGTAATGTTAGACTAGGGCACTCTAGAGAGGCGGTGGTAATGTTAGACTAGGACACTCTAGAGAGGCGGTGGTAATGTTAGACTAGGACACTCTAGAGAGGCGATGGTAATGTTAGACTAGGGCACTCTAGAGAGGCGATGGTAATGTTAGACTAGGACACTCTAGAGAGGCGATGGTAATGTTAGACTAGGGCACTCTAGAGAGGCGGTGGTAATGTTAGACTAGGACACTCTAGAGAGGCGGTGGTAATGTTAGACTAGGACACTCTAGAGAGGCGGTGGTAATGTTAGACTAGGGCACTCTAGAGAGGCGATGGTAATGTTAGACTAGGGCACTCTAGAGAGGCGGTGGTAATGTTAGACTAGGGCACTCTAGAGAGGCGATGGTAATGTTAGACTAGGACACTCTAGAGAGGCGGTGGTAATGTTAGACTAGGGCACTCTAGAGAGGCGGTGGTAATGTTAGACTAGGACACTCTAGAGAGGCGGTGGTAATGTTAGACTAGGGCACTCTAGAGAGGCGATGGTAATGTTAGACTAGGGCACTCTAGAGAGGCGGTGGTAATGTTAGACTAGGGCACTCTAGAGAGGCGGTGGTAATGTTAGACTAGGGCAGGGCACTCTAGAGAGTCAGTGGTAATGTTAGACTAGGGCACTCTAGAGAGGCAGTGGTAATGTTAGACTAGGGCACTCTAGAGAGGCAGTGGTAATGTTAGACTAGGGCACTCTAGAGAGGCAGTGGTAATGTTAGACTAGGGCACTCTAGAGAGTCAGTGGTAATGTTAGACTAGGGCAGGGCACTCTAGAGAGTCAGTGGTAATGTTAGACTAGGGCAGGGCACTCTAGAGAGTCAGTGGTAATGTTAGACTAGGGCACTCTAGAGAGGCAGTGGTAATGTTAGACTAGGGCACTCTAGAGAGGCAGTGTTAATGTTAGACTAGGGCACTCTAGAGAGGCGGTGGTAATGTTAGAATAGGGCACTCTAGAGAGGCGGTGGTAATGTTAGACTAGGGCACTCTAGAGAGGCGATGGTAATGTTAGAATATGGCACTCTAGCGAGTCAGTGTTAATGTTAGACTAGGACACTCTAGAGAGTCAGGGTTAGACTAGGGCACTCTAGCGAGTCAGTGGTAATGTTAGACTAGGGCACTCTAGAGAGGCAGTGGTAATGTTAGACTAGGGCACTCTAGAGAGGCAGTGGTAATGTTAGACTAGGGCACTCTAGAGAGTCAGGGTTAGACTAGGGCACTCTAGAGAGGCAGTGGTAATGTTAGACTAGGGCACTCTAGAGAGGCGATGGTAATGTTAGACTAGGGCACTCTAGAGAGGCGGTGGTAATGTTAGACTAGGACACTCTAGAGAGGCGATGGTAATGTTAGACTAGGGCACTCTAGAGAGGCGATGGTAATGTTAGACTAGGGCACTCTAGAGAGGCGGTAGTAATGTTAGACTAGGACACTCTAGAGAGGCGATGGTAGTGTTAGACTAGGGCACTCTAGAGAGGCGATGGTAATGTTAGACTAGGGCACTCTAGAGAGGCGATGGTAATGTTAGACTAGGACACTCTAGAGAGGCGATGGTAATGTTAGACTAGGGCACTCTAGAGAGGCGGTGGTAATGTTAGACTAGGGCACTCTAGAGAGGCGGTGGTAATGTTAGACTAGGACACTCTAGAGAGGCGGTGGTAATGTTAGACTATGGCACTCTAGAGAGGCGGTGGTAATGTTAGACTAGGGCACTCTAGAGAGGCGGTGGTAATGTTAGACTAGGGCACTCTAGAGAGGCGGTGGTAATGTTAGACTAGGGCACTCTAGAGAGGCGGTGGTAATGTTAGACTAGGGCACTCTAGAGAGGCGGTGGTAATGTTAGACTAGGACACTCTAGAGAGGCGATGGTAATGTTAGACTAGGGCACTCTAGAGAGGCGATGGTAATGTTAGACTAGGGCACTCTAGAGAGGCGGTGATAATGTTAGACTAGGGCACTCTAGAGAGGCGGTGGTAATGTTAGACTAGGGCACTCTAGAGAGGCAGTGGTAATGTTAGACTAGGGCACTCTAGAGAGTCAGTGGTAATGTTAGACTAGGGCACTCTAGAGAGTCAGGGTTAGACTAGGGCACTCTAGAGAGGCAGTGGTGCTTGACTAGGGCACTCTAGCGAGTCAGAGGTAATGTTAGACTAGGGCACTCTAGAGAGTCAGTGGTAATGTTAGACTAGGGCACTCTAGAGAGTCAGTGGTAATGTTAGACTGGGTTCCTTCAGGGCATTCTATAGATAGTGTCAGTGTTAATGTTTTACAAGTGTCAGTATTTCTATCAGTCAACTGGCTGATATATTTATAGAACTGTTTGCTGTAATAAAATCAATCACGCATGGTATACTATTTAGCTGGTACATTCGTTTAATAGTAAACCTTTACAAAAAAATATATAAGTAATTATCACCTAACTAATGTTAACATATCTGTCTCCTTATGCTCTTACCAAAGAGTGTATTCAGATTAAACAGCTATAAAATAATTAAAATGTATTGATTACAATTATTTTCTAAAAATTGAATTCAATGATCACTCATAATTAATGATTGAAGGTGTTGGCTAATTAGCGAAGCAATTAATTACCTTTATTGCAGCCAGACTCAGATGACGTCCAGCCGGGATGGCATACCGGGCACTCGCCTGTGATTCTAGAACAATCTGACACACAGTGGTTGCAGCGTTTGGTGCAGTTGACGTCAAACGTTTGGTAGGGACAATCTGTAGGCACAGGTAGTAGAGGGTGTCACCACTAGTAGAGGGTGTCACCAGTAGTAGGTGTCACCATTAGTAGAGTGTGTCACCATTAGTAGAGGGTGTCACCATTAGTAGAGTGTGTCACCATTAGTAGGTGTCACCATTAGTAGGTGTCACCATTAGTAGAGGGTGTCACCATTAGTAGAGGGTGTCACCATTAGTAGGTGTCACCATTAGTAGGTGTCACCATTAGTAGAGGGTGTCACCATTAGTAGAGTGTGTCACCATTACTAGGTGTCACCATTAGCAGAAGGTATCACCATTAGTAGAGGGTGTCACCATTAGTAGAGTGTGTCACCATTACTAGGTGTCACCATTAGCAGAAGGTATCACCATTTGTAGAGGGTGTCACCAGTAATATACATTGTCACCTTTAGTATAGAGCGTCACCATTAGTAGAAGATGTCAACAGTAGTAGAGAGTATCACTATTAGTAGAAAGTGTCACCATTAATAGAGGGTGTCACCATTAGTGAGGGTGTCAGCATTAATAGTGGGTGTAATTATAAGTATAGGGTGTTACCATTCGTTGAAGGTGTTACCATTAGTAGAGGTGTCACCATTAGTATAGGGTGTCACCATTTATTGAGGCAGTGTTAGATGTCACCTTTAGTACACGCTTACAGCTCTTGGCCTGAGTGAGGTATCAGATGTACTTTAAACTGTCTGTATTTTTATTCTGCTCACATGCGTGGAATCTAGTCTAGGTACAGACGGGATGCTATTATGAACATACGTAGTGCATTTCTTACACACTGAGCTCTACTTGACCTACACACCTTCAGGGCAGGTGATCGTGGTGTCACACACCTCGTCTATTGTCTGGGATTCCTCACCATGACACCATTCACCGCCACTCTGTGGTGTTGGGTCGTTACACATTCGTCTGGTACAGAAATAGGAAAGCAATGTAGGCTTATATATATATATATATATATATATATAGGGCCTATATATATTTAAATTATTTAAATATATAATAGATGTATAATAGATGTATGTATATATACGTATAATATATTTATATGTATATATATTTATATATATATATATATATATATATATATATATACATATATATATATATATATATATATATATATATATATATATATATATATATATATATATGCATATATATATATATGCACATATATATACATATACATATGCATATATATATATATATATTATATATATATATATATATATATATATATATATATATATATATATATATATAGCATGTATGACTATTATATTTGGAGAGATAGAGGGATACACATAAGAAAGAAGTGATGTTCGACAAGACGTGTGAATGACGTACATTAGACTACATTACCTGCGTATCTTGTACCAGTACTTTCCACACGGCCTAGGGCACGTCCACACTTGCCATGGTCCCCATTGACCGTCCACTAGAGGGTGGGGGGGGGTTAAAGATTTATCAGTCTACACTACCAGGTCTATCCACCTTCTTTTGAATCACATTGTTGATCAAAGTATGACACAAGCCTTATAATGTGATACATATGGGACATATACGTCCAACATAGCCCACAGATTGGTAGGTAAAGTAGAGTTAATCTGGATGAGTTAACTCATCACAAATAAGTACCCAACATGAATATTAAACAACAATGTCAGGTTTCACAGTACTATCCTGTAGTTTCAACAAAATCACATTGGGCTAAAAATGTGATCCGCTAACCACTTGTCAACTGGTTCAACCAACAACTTTAACCACATTAAACCATTCCTAAATGTGATTAGTTTGTGGAGACTTAAAACAGTGGGTAAACCTGAGTGGAGAGTTAACTAAAATCTTAACCTGACCTATATAAACCTGTTTGGAGAGTTAACTAAAATCTTAACCTGACCTATATAAACCTGTTTGGAGAGTTAACTAAAATCTTAACCTGACCTATATAAACCTGAGTGGAGAGTTAACTAAAATCTTAACCTGACCTATATAAACCTGTATGGAGAGTTAACTAAAATCTTAACCTGACCTATATAAACCTGTATGGAGAGTTAACTAAAATCTTAACCTGACCTATATAAACCTGTATGGAGAGTTAACTAAAATCTTAACCTGACCTGTATAAACCTGTATGGAGAGTTAACTAAAATCTTAACCTGACCTGTATAAACCTGTATGGAGAGTTAACTAAAATCTTAACCTGACCTGTATAAACCTGTTTGGAGAGTTAACTAAAATCTTAACCTGACCTGTATAAACCTGTTTGGAGAGTTAACTAAAATCTTAACCTGACCTGTATAAACCTGTATGGAGAGTTAACTAAAATCTCAACCTGACCTATATAAACCTGAGTGGAGAGTTAACTAAAATCTTAACCTGACCTGTATAAACCTGTTTGGAGAGTTAACTAAAATCTTAACCTGACCTGTATAAACCTGTTTGGAGAGTTAACTAAAATCTTAACCTGACCTGTATAAACCTGTTTGGAGAGTTAACTAAAATCTTAACCTGACCTGTATAAACCTGTTTGGAGAGTTAACTAAAATCTTAACCTGACCTATATAAACCTGAGTGGAGAGTTAACTAAAATCTTAACCTGACCTGTATAAACCTGTTTGGAGAGTTAACTAAAATCTTAACCTGACCTGTATAAACCTGTTTGGAGAGTTAACTAAAATCTTAACCTGACCTATATAAACCTGAGTGGAGAGTTAACTAAAATCTTAACCTGACCTATATAAACCTGTATGGAGAGTTAACTAAAATCTTAACCTGACCTGTATAAACCTGTATGGAGAGTTAACTAAAATCTTAACCTGACCTGTATAAACCTGTTTGGAGAGTTAACTAAAATCTTAACCTGACCTGTATAAACCTGTTTGGAGAGTTAACTAAAATCTTAACCTGACCTATATAAACCTGAGTGGAGAGTTAACTAAAATCTTAACCTGACCTGTATAAACCTGTTTGGAGAGTTAACTAAAATCTTAACCTGACCTGTATAAACCTGTTTGGAGAGTTAACTAAAATCTTAACCTGACCTATATAAACCTGAGTGGAGAGTTAACTAAAATCTTAACCTGACCTATATAAACCTGTATGGAGAGTTAACTAAAATCTTAACCTGACCTGTATAAACCTGTATGGAGAGTTAACTAAAATCTTAACCTGACCTGTATAAACCTGTTTGGAGAGTTAACTAAAATCTTAACCTGACCTGTATAAACCTGTTTGGAGAGTTAACTAAAATCTTAACCTGACCTATATAAACCTGAGTGGAGAGTTAACTAAAATCTTAACCTGACCTATATAAACCTGTATGGAGAGTTAACTAAAATCTTAACCTGACCTATATAAACCTGTATGGAGAGTTAACTAAAATCTTAACCTGACCTATATAAACCTGTATGGAGAGTTAACTAAAATCTTAACCTGACCTGTATAAACCTGTATGGAGAGTTAACTAAAATCTTAACCTGACCTGTATAAACCTGTTTGGAGAGTTAACTAAAATCTTAACCTGACCTGTATAAACCTGTTTGGAGAGTTAACTAAAATCTTAACCTGACCTATATAAACCTGAGTGGAGAGTTAACTAAAATCTTAACCTGACCTATATAAACCTGTATGGAGAGTTAACTAAAATCTTAACCTGACCTATATAAACCTGTATGGAGAGTTAACTAAAATCTTAACCTGACCTATATAAACCTGTATGGAGAGTTAACTAAAATCTTAACCTGACCTATATAAACCTGTATGGAGAGTTAACTAAAATCTTAACCTGACCTATATAAACCTGTATGGAGAGTTAACTAAAATCTTAACCTGACCTATATAAACCTGTATGGAGAGTTAACTAAAATCTCAACCTGACCTATATAAACCTGAGTGGAGAGTTAACTAAAATCTTAACCTGACCTATATAAACCTGTATGGAGAGTTAACTAAAATCTCAACCTGACCTATATAAACCTGAGTGGAGAGTTAACTAAAATCTTAACCTGACCTATATAAACCTGTATGGAGAGTTAACTAAAATCTCAACCTGACCTATATAAACCTGAGTGGAGAGTTAACTAAAATCTTAACCTGACCTATATAAACCTGTATGGAGAGTTAACTAAAATCTCAACCTGACCTATATAAACCTGAGTGGAGAGTTAACTAAAATCTTAACCTGACCTATATAAACCTGTATGGAGAGTTAACTAAAATCTCAACCTGACCTATATAAACCTGAGTGGAGAGTTAACTAAAATCTTAACCTGACCTATATAAGCCTGTATGGAGAGTTAACTAAAATCTTAACCTGACCTATATAAACCTGTATGGAGAGTTAACTAAAAACTTAACCTGACCTGTAAAACCTGTATGGAGAGTTAACTAAAATCTTAACCTGACCTGTATAAACCTGTATGGAGAGTTAACTAAAATCTTAACCTGACCTGTATAAACCTGTATGGAGAGTTAACTAAAATCTTAACCTGACCTGTATAAACCTGTATGGAGAGTTAACTAAAACCTTAACCTGACCTGTATAAACCTGTATGGAGAGTTAATTCAAATCTTAACCTGACCTGTATAAACCTGTATGGAGAGTTAACTAAAATCTTAACCTGACCTGTATAAACCTGTATGGAGAGTTAACTAAAACCTTAACCTGACCTGTATAAACCTGTATGGAGAGTTAACTAAAATCTTAACCTGACCTGTATAAACCTGTATGGAGAGTTAACTAAAATCTTAACCTGACCTGTATAAACCTGTTTGGAGAGTTAACTAAAATCTTAACCCTGACCTGTGGCTAATAAACCTCTTTGGAGAGTTAACTAAAACCTTAACCTGACCTGTATAAACCTGTATGGAGAGTTAACTAAAATCTTAACCTGACCTGTATAAACCTGTATGGAGAGTTAACTAAAATCTTAACCTGACCTGTGGCTAGTAAACCCAGATCCTCGTCTACCCTATCATCGTTGTCGTCATCTGAAGAAGATAAAAAAATTTGGATCAAAATATATCGTTGAATATTACAAAATTTTTTGTCACATTGGTGATGTGACATTTAGAAACAGCTAGAACTAATGTCAAATTTAGCACCTAATATCAGATGACAGGTAAAAATGTCATACCCTTGTCTAGATGACAATTCATAGGAATTTGGGACACAATTTTATCTTACAAAGTTGACAAGCCTTACGTTTTCTAATTGTACAAAAGGAGGTTACCATAACTTATAACTTTCCTTACAAACGGAGGTTAATCTATATATATAATTTTCTTCTGGGAGACGCTAGAAAACAAGTTTTCAGCGCGCTCCCTACCACCCCCACCCCTACATGGTCTGGTGAGCTGTGGTTCAAGCTAAATATTTACAAGCAGAGCGGGGTTTAGTGACGGCTATTCGGGGCAGATAATTTAGTTTGAAACTATTTTAAACGTGGGGGGAGGGGGGTGGTAACTAAGTGGAGTTTACTTTAACGGAGGGGTGGGGGAAGGAGGAGGGGGGGTTATCGTCCTTAACGAGCTACTTAAAGTGTTTTAAAGAAATACTTTCAGTGGCAGCGTTGGTACTGTCGAATTCACAAATTATGAATTACTGAAAAGTAGAAAAAATAACAACTAAATAGCGGCGTATAATATGCCGCGGGTCGGCTCGTTTAGCATAACTTATAACTTCCCTTACAAAGGGAGGTTAACATAACTTATAACTTCCCTTACAAAGGGAGGTTAACATAACTTATAACTTCCCTTACAAAGGGAGGTTAACCTAACCCTACAAGGGTAGAATATGACTGACTTACCCATGCGATTCTCCTGTTCCTCGTCCACCCAGCCGTCACAATCGTTGTCCTTCCCGTCCCCGTGCCTCTTGCTAGGTGATCTGGTACAGTTCTGGGGGAGGGGGTGGGGTAGGGAGGTGTGGGGGGGGGCGGGATCAAACATTGGGAAAATCATTACATAGAGTACATTAAGCAAATGGTGATTCTGTAGGTTACCTTGTGTTAAGTTGAACTTAAATAGTTCATTTTTTTCTGTATGTTAAATCCGTTGATGTTACTAAATGTTACTAAGTGTTACATACATAGGTAAAATAGATTTGTTATTATATGTGACATATAATTTCAGTATAACAAAAGCTATTAGAGTTGGTACAGAATCCGCTTGTAGTGCACTGATAGATTAATCATTTTGTCATTTATAATATACACTGACTATAGTACAAGGACTGGTGTACGAGTTGGTGTACAGGGGTGGTGTAAATATTCCATGTTCCTACATCTCATAGCGACATCATCCTGTGCAAGCAGGTAGTCTCAGAACGTCAGGTAGCTGTGCTGTCTGATCACACCTGTGTCAAGTGTGCTGGCAGGTAGCTGTGCTGTCTGATCTCACCTGTGTGCTGGCAGGTAGCTGTACTGTCTGATCACACCTGTGTCAGGTGTGCTATCTGATCTCACCTGTGTGCTGGCAGGTAGCTGTACTGTCTGATCACACCTGTGTCAAGTGTGCTGGCAGGTAGCTGTGCTATCTGATCTCACCTGTGTGCTGGCAGGTAGCTGTACTGTCTGATCTCACCTGTGTCAAGTGTGCTGGCAGGTAGCTGTGCTATCTGATCTCACCTGTGTGCTGGCAGGTAGCTGTGCTGTCTGATCTCACCTGTGTGCTGGCAGGTAGCTGTACTGTCTGATCTCACCTGTGTCAGGTGTGCTGGCAGGTAGCTGTACTGTCTGATCACACCTGTGTCAGGTGTGCTATCTGATCTCACCTGTGTGCTGGCAGGTAGCTGTACTGTCTGATCACACCTGTGTCAAGTGTGCTGGCAGGTAGCTGTGCTATCTGATCTCACCTGTGTGCTGGCAGGTAGCTGTACTGTCTGATCTCACCTGTGTCAAGTGTGCTGGCAGGTAGCTGTGCTATCTGATCTCACCTGTGTGCTGGCAGGTAGCTGTACTGTCTGATCTCACCTGTGTGCTGGCAGGTAGCTGTGCTGTCTGATCTCACCTGTGTCAGGTGTGCTGGCAGGTAGCCTCCAAACGTCAGGTAGCCATGCTGGCCAATCTCCCCGTACAGGTACATGCCGAACTTAGTTCCAGCTGCGTTGATGAGGTCATTGAACCCGGGCGATGACGTCAGGCGGAGAGAGGAGAAGTCGGGGTCCCCCGCCACGTCAGTCAAGTTGGTGTTGTTTTCGATGCTGAGGAGATCAAGTCATAGGTCAAGTCATAGGTCGAGTCATAGGTCAAGTCATAGGTTAAGCCATAGGTCATGTCATAGGTCAAGTCACAGGTCAAGTCTCAAGTCAAGTCACAGGTCAAGTCATAGGTCAAGTCATAGGTCAAGTCATAGGTCAAGTTATAGGTCAAGCCATAACACAAGTCATAGCTCATGTCAATGGTCTGGCCCAGGCTCTAGTGAAAAATCAAGTCAAAGTATTTTTCTTCTATTTTGTTTTTAATGATAGTGTTGGGAGAGATCCCCCCCCCCCCACCCCAACACAATTAAGTAAACGTCTCAACTGGTTATGCGCCGTTGATGTTAAATGTCAGCCCATATTTCTACAGCCTTTGTCCAGCCAAGAATAAACTACAAGGCAGCAGTTGTTTGCTTTTGGAGTTGTCTCTCCTAGACAAGTGGCTGTCTTTAGCTATCCAGCCTTCAACTCATCAAAATGCCAATAGCTCCGACCAAAGGCCTCCGTCAACTCACCGAAATGCCAACAATCAAACAAAGGCCAAAAGCTCCGACCAAAGGCCTCCGTCAACTCACCGAAATGCCAACAATCAAACAAAGGCCAAAAGCTCCGACCAAAGGCCTCCGTCAACTCACCGAAATGCCAATTATCAAACAAATGCCAAAAGCTCGGACCAAAGGCCTCCGTCAACTCACCGAAATGCCAACAATCAAACAAAGGCCAAAAGCTCCGACCAAAGGCCTCCATCAACTCACCGAAATGCCAACAATCAAACAAAGGCCAAAAGCTCCGACCAAAGGCCTCCGTCAACTCACCGAAATGCCAACAATCAAACAAAGGCCAAAAGCTCGGACCAAAGGCCTCCGTCAACTCACCGAATTGGCAACCACTTCTTGTTGTGCATCAACTCGACCAGGTTTCTCTTGAAGATGATGAAAGCAAATTCCCGGAACCCTTCCATCTCCTGGGTACTGGGAGTGGTAAATATTGTGGTAAATTATGGTAAATAGTGGAAAATGGTGGTTTATAGCTAGAAACTATTGTAAATGAGGGTGAATGGTGAAAACAGAGGTAAATTGGGTAAAATGGTGGTAAATATTGGTAACTTATATCACATGATAACAAATGGAGGTAATTAGTGACAGTAACAGTAATGAGACAGTAACACGACTAGGTTTAGGGACTGATGTAAGTGTAATGAGACAGCTACTTACACCCATGTGTAGCGACTGATGTAAGTGTAATAACAGGCTACTTACTCTCAGGTATCTGATGTAAGTGTAATGAGACGCTACTTACACCCATGTGTAGCGACTGATGTAAGTGTAATAACACGCTACTTACACCCAGGTGTAGCGAGTGATGTAAGTGTAATGAGATGCTACTTAAATCAGTTATCTGATGTAAGTGTAATGAGACTCAACTTACACCCAGGTGAAGCGACTGATGTAAATGTAATAACACGCTATTTAAACCCAGGTGTAGCGAGTGATGTAAGTGTAATGAGATAAGTACTTACACCCAGGTGTAGCGAGTGATGGAAGTGTAATGAGACGCTACTTACACCCAGGTGTAGCGAATGATGTAAGTGTAATGATACAAGTACTTACACCCATGTGTAGCGAGTGATATAAGTGTAATGAGACGCTACTTACACTCATGTGTAGCGAGTGATGTAAGTGTAATGAGACGCTACTTACACCCAGGTGTAGCGAGTGATGTAAGTGTAATGAGACGCTACTTACACTCAGTTATCTGATGTCAGTGTAATGAGACGCTACTTACACCCATGTGTAGCGAGTGATGTACATGGCTACCGGCACCAAGACAGAAAACGACGGTCCTCCTGTGCCTTGCTCACACGCCGCATACACGATTACAAACACAGCAACGTTTTTAGTGGCCGTCAAGAGTTGGGGGGCTGACACTGTGTCTTTGATCTGGTGAGGGGAGGGGCATTGGTGAGGTGGGGGAGGGGCATTGGTGAGGTGGAGGAGGGGCATTGGTGAGGTGGATGGTTGCAAACCTGAATGTGAAGTGTTAGATTAGCACCGATTTCTTCTTTTCTTCTTCTTCGTTCTTAATTATTAGAGTTGAGGGGGATCGAGATTTATCTGCCAGTGGGTTTGAACTCGAGACTTTTGTTCGAATGTATCAAACATGAGCTTTTTGCCGACTCGACCACGACTCCAACACAATTAAGCGTTACGTGTCAACTGGTTTTGCGCCATTGAGGCCATTGACTCCGATTTCAGCCTGCTTTTCTTTTTGGATTTGCTTCCATAGCCTTTGTCCAACCAAGAACAAACTACAAGGCAGCAGTTGTTTAATTTTTGAGTTGTCTCTCCTAGAAGAGTGGCTGTCCCCAGCTAACGAGCCTCATCTGCCCGAGGGTTCGAACTCGAGACTTTTCGGTTTAGCAACCATGCGCTTTACCGACTCGACCACGCCGACCCCTTAGCACCGATAACTCTAGCAGTCCTCAACTGGTCTAGGGCTAGGGTATACTGGTTGATTTCACACGTCATAACATCATACCCAGAGGTTAATTAATCCATCGTCATTAACTTAACCAACTAACAATCTCCATAAGTTTAATAGTTCTGCAACTTTTAAGAGTTTAATAGTCGGGTAATTGAGAAAGTCTTGTAGAGGGTTAATGGCCATGTGTGGCTAATGTCCAACCGACCAACACCCCCCCCCCCTTCCCCCGTTAACAAACACCTTCTATCCTATAGACCAACACCCCCTTCTCCCATAGGCCAACACCCCCCTTGACAAACACACCCTCCCCCATGTGACCACCCCCCCTGATGTGACCACCCCCTCCCCCACGTGACCACCCCCCTCCCATGTGACCACCCCCCCCCCCACCCCCATGTGACCACCCCCCCTCCCCCATGTGACCACCCTATGGGACCACCCCCTCCCCCATGCGACCACCCCCCCTTCCCCATGTGACCACCCCCTCCCCCGTGTGACCACCCCCTCCCCCCATCTGACCACCCCCCACCCCCATGTGACCACCCCCCTCCCCCATGTGACCACCCCCTCCCCCCACGTGACCCCCGCCTACAATGACACTGTCCCCAGCTCTGTCCAAGAACGTCACTTGGTCCGGCATCTCCTCATTGACGTGGACATGAAAGGACGTCTCGTTATACAGCGCCATCACCTCATAGCTCACACTCTTAGCTCTGGAGCTCAGCTCTACCAGGTGGTAGAACTTAGACAGGGAATCTACAGGCAGCAGCATTTCTGGAATACAGGTGACTTCTCAGTACATTTAGCGACATCATTCTAATATATATATATATATATATATATATATATATATATATATATATATATATATATATATATATATATATATATATATATATATATATATATATATATATATATATATATGTATATATATGTATATATATATATGTATATATATGTATATATAAATACCTAGGAATATACGACGGTGTGGTTATAAGAATATTGAAATAATTGTGTTTGGCTGTGAGGGGAAGAAAATTTGACTTTGTGAGTCAATTGGATTTGTAGGACTTTCTGAAATGATTGTAACTTGGGGTGATTGTACCCAGAATGATTGTGACATGAGATGATTGTGACATGAGATGATTGTGACATGAGATGATTGTGACATGAGATGATTGTGACATGAGATGATTGTGACAGGAGATGATTGTGACAGGAGATAATTGAAACCTAGAGTGATTGTGACCTGCAATTATTGAGTCCAAAAGGATTGTGACCTAACTGATTGTGATTGAGCAACCTACCCGCCGCGAAGTCATCTGTGACGAATGTATCTGTTTGACAGTCCGTGACCTTTGACATGCACGTGCCCACGATGACCCCAATTGGCTCATCGGCCCAGATTTGTGAGCCTACACACAAGGAAGTTTACAGACTGTAATACCAAATCTTTAGACCAGGGGTCTCCAAACTACGGCCCGCGGGCCGAATTCGACCCGCGGAGATCATTTTTTTCCAAGGAAAAACCGTTTGTTGGTGATGGCGGAGGAACTTTGCCCAGAAAACTCAAAGACAATTCTAGAAGAAACTGGCCCCCGACCTGAAATTTCATAGTTAATGCGGCCCTCGGACTGAAAAGTTTGGAGACCCCTGCTTTAGACTACAATTTTTTGTTTTTAAATCTAACATTTCGACAACTGCTAACAAATTTAAACAAACACTTAAATTTTATGTACGAATGTCAGTGTCAATTACCAAATTACAACTGAACAAGTATTAACCGCAAGAGAGTTTAGATGTGTACACTTATAGTACTGTACACACATGACATACTGTACACAGTGTACACGCATGACACACTGTACACTTGACACACTGTACACTTGACACACTGTACACATGACACACTGTACACACATGACATACTGTACACACATGACACACTGTACACATGACATACTGTACACTTGACACACTGTACACTTGACACACTGTACACTGTACACACTTTACACACTGTACACTGTACACACTTGAAAGACTGTACACATATGACACACTGTACACACATGACACATTGTACACACATGACATACTCTACACACACGACACACTGTACACATGACATACAGGACACACTGTACACACATGACACACATTAAACACAAGACACACATTCCAACATTTCTCACATGTGACAGACAATCTCTCACCTGTGATAGACATTCTCGCCTGTGTCGCCAAACACTTGTTCTGCAGGAAGAAGGCGTGGTGTCTGGAACAAACCATAAGACGTTAGGCGACATCGTCATACCTTTACGTGAAATCTACACGTCATGGCCTACACGTCATGGCCCACACGTCATGGCCCACACGTCATGGCCCACACGTCATGGCCCACACGTCATGGCCTACACGTCATGGCCTCCGTATAGAAACAATAGTTATTAAACCTCTCATGGTTATAGTTAACTAAATGTGAACAACATATGTCTACTAAGCTACGATTACGTCAACACAACATATGTCTACTAAGCTACGATTACGTCAACACAACATATGTCTATTAAGCTACGATTACGTCAACACAACATATGTCTATTAAGCTACGATTACGTCAACACAACATATTCGATTACAACACATTTGTCCCTAATGACCTCTGTCCCAACCACACACACACGCACAATACGTATCAACCAACACGCCATCACACAAAATGACATCACCACATAACACGACACCACCCAACACGCCACCACAACCACCAGGCTAACACAACCACCACGCCATCACCACACAGACTCACGGTAACAGCGCCATGTGGAGCCTGTCGTTGAGCAGAGAGTTTCCAGCGCTGTAGCTGTAGCTCCCTCCCCTCAGAGCGATGGTGACGAAGGTAATTTTATGTCCGTTCACCACCACTATAGCTGGCTTATCGCTGTTTATGAAGTGGGGGGCGGGGGGCGAGGGGGGATAAAAATTTATAATATCTGTTGAACAAGGTTTATCTATCAAGGCTTGAGTGCCTGGCTTACTATACACCTGATGACAACTCATCTGATGGCACTGACACATCAACTGACGACAATGACAACTCACCTACTGACACTGACAACTAAGGTGATGACACTGACACCTTACCTACTGACACTGACACCTTACCTACTGACACTGACACCTTACCTACTGACACTGACAACTCACGTGATGACACTGACACCTTACCTACTGACACTGACACCTTACCTACTGACACTGACACCATATCTACTGACACTGACAACTTGCGTGATGACACTGACACCTTACCTACTGACACTGACACCTTACCTACTGACACTGACAACTCAAGTGATGACACTGACAACTGACCTAATGACACTGACACCTTACCTACTGACACTGACAACTCACGTGATGACACTAACAACTGACCTGATGGCACTGACGTAGTAGAGCTGACCAAAGCCTTTAGATGGCACGAGGTTGAAGCTGGCCAGCATTGACGGGTACCTGAGGCTGTCCGTGAGTACAACACGTGCGCCAAACTCTTCCTTTGACTCCAGTATAAAGGCGTTGGTCAAGCCAGACTCGGCGAACCTGGGGTCAGAGGGGGCTCAACGTGACCCGTGTGTCGAATCATGACCCATGTTAGTGACCCGTGTGTCTGGATATGACCCATGTTTCTGGATATGACCCGTGTGTCTGGACATAACCCGAGTGTTTAGATGTGACCCATGTGTCTGGATATGACCCATGGTTCTAGATATGACCCATGAGTCTGGATATGACCCATGGTACTAGATATGATCCATGTGTCTGGATATGATATGACCCATGTGTCTGAATGCGTCTGGATACGACGGGTGTGTCTGAATATGACCCGTGTGTCTGAATATGACCCATGTGTCTGAATATGACCCGTGTGTCTGAGTATGACCCGTTTGTCTGAATATGACCCATTTGTCTGAATATGACCCGTGTGTCTGAATATGACCCGTGTGTCTGGATATGACCCGTGTGTCTGGATATGATCCGTGTGTCTGGTTATGACCCGTGTGTCTACTCTATACCAACCACTTGAAGTTGCAATAACTGTGTTGAGAAGTTCGAGTGTGTAATGGGCGTGCATATCACTTCCCGTGTTGTTCTTCTGTGCTTTTATGTAATGTGTATGTGTGTGTGTGTTTGTCTGCATTGTACTTTGTGGAGGAGGGTGTGTGGGTTGAAGAGGCAGTGACGATCTATTCTGTATTTAATTTACCAGGCACAAAGTAGACGAATACAGTTAAGAAAGTTGAAGTGAATGTCTACATTGCTGTTTAAGTGTATGTGAGGAAGGTAGGCGGAAATATTAAAATCATGTGACATACTTGCTGACGTGTAAACTATTGTGATAGACACATTTGTAGTTTACCACGTTGTCTGTCATTTATCTGTCATGTAGTATGTCATATGATGTGCTTTTACGCAGTGGCGTAGCGAGGTCGGGTGTCACCCGGTGCAGCACTGAATGGTGTCACCCCCAGAGGCGTAGCGACCCTTCCCGGGGACAAATTTTCGATTTGCACCCCCCCCCCTCTCTGACTTTTTTTTTGCACCCCCCTCCCTCAAACTTTCGATTTGCACCCCCCCCCCATCAAGTTTTTCTCTATATATTTTGCTATTTTTTGCCTTGGTGTCACCCCCTAAATTGTGTCACCCGGTGCGGTCCGCCCCCCCCCTCGCTACGCCTCTGCTGTTACGTGCCCTGTCATGTGACCCCCCCCCCCCCACAACAAGAACTCACCCCCCGTCACGTGACTTACAAGAACTCCGGGTTGATGTCGTAGATGGTGACCTCGGCTTTCTGCAAGGTCAGCACCGCGCTCAGGCCGTGCTGGTGGGTCAAGGTCAGGTTGACCTTGATGGGGCGGGTGGAGACGGTGACGAGCAGAAGTCTGGGGTAGCCGTTGATGAAGGGCACGTGGAAGATGTAGCACGTCCCGTGAGGGGTCAAGGCTGGAGCAGACGTGGGTCAATCATAGAGCAGACGTGGGTCAATCATAGAGCAGACGTGGGTCAATCATAGAGCAGACGTGGGTCAATCATAGAGCAGACGTGGGTCAATCATTGAGCAGATATTAGTTCCATAATGGAGAACACTTATAATTAACACACATTAAACACAACACTTAACTTAACAAACACTACCTAAACAGACATTGCTACTTAGGGGTCATCCATAAGTGACATTACACTTTTTTAAAACGATTTTTACCTCCCCCTCCCCTCCGTCACACGTCGTCAAAAAAAGCCAGACCCCCCCCCCTAAAATGATGTCAGACCTCAGCGTACACCCCCCACCCCTCAAAATGGCTGTTGAATTTTTCTTAAAACATCGATATTTTTTTTAAAAATCTTTTAGAACTGTCAACGTCGAGTATTTTGATCAATTCATATTTCAATTTATTAAAACAGTTTTCTAAAACGCGAAATAACGGCTAAAACTCGTTTTCTAACATTGCTTTTTTATAATGCAAAAAAGTGACGTCACACCATCAGACACCCCCCCCCTCTCCCCCTCATCACACAACGTCACAAAATAACGGACCCCCTCCCCCCTACGAGTATGACGTCATTTGTGGATGACCCCTTAACCTACTACTACAACTAAACACTATACTGCAACATAATCACAAGTGAACTCTCGAAATTAACGCAACACCACTAAGTTAAGGGGGGGGGGACCGGTAGTGAAAACACATTTTCCCACAAATTATAAGATACAAGCTTTTTTTAAATTGCTTTAACTTAATAATTTATACATTACAACACTGTATTTATTTGGGCCAATTTATACATTTTTATACATTTTTAGCGAAAGTTGGGGTCAAAATGAAAATTTTTTATGTACACAGTAGAAACAAAATAACTAAACAAATTTAGATAAAACAATGCAATATAACTTTGCACTTTCCTAGTAGACATGACAAGGAACGGTTTCTTAAAGGGAAATTTTGATATCTTACAAAATGAATTTTTTGTGAAATTTTTATAACCCTTTTTTCGATAATATTATTGGGGAAAACAGCAGCTTACATCACTTACAAAATTTTTTTTTAAAATAAAGTTCGATGCCGACCTTCACTAGATATCGAAATCACCAAAAAATAAGATACACAAAAATGATTTTAGTTGAAAAAAATTGAAATTTTTCAAGAAAGTTGACTACAGGTCCCCCTTAACACAACCGAACACACCAGCTTACTTTTAGCCCAGCACGCGATGAATGACGTCACCAACACGACACACGTCAACATAGAGCTGACGTCTGCCTGAAATACACATCACGTGTCATTTGTTGTCTGTGACGTCATGTGTCATTTGTTGTCTGTGACGTCATGTGTCTGTCAAGACCGTTCCTTGTCGAAACAAACTGTCTCCACCCTATCAAATATCTTGTCATTTGTTAAATCAAAATGTCTCCACCCTAACAAATGTCTTGTCATTGTCTTTAAAGTAAAGATCTATCTGTTGGTTTTTTTTTTCTTCGAGTGGTCATTTTGTTCCCTGTTCTCACACAAAATTGTTTTATTCAAGTTTCAGTTCTGTTCAACTACTCCCCACTGATATCTAAAAATAGTCTCTGGCGGCTGGACAATGGCGTAGGCAGGGGGGGGGGGGGTTAGGTGGGTCATAACCCCCCCCCTCCCCCCCATAGACCCCTCGGTATATATATATATAAAGTATGAGGGGTTGCAAATCGAAAGATTGAGGGGGGTGCAAATCGAAAGTTTGTCCCCGGTAAAAATTGGAACCCCCCCCCCCCCCCTTGAGACGATCCTGGCTACGCCACTAGCTGGACTACACGCCTGCTGAGTGTGTTGTGTTGAGCAAAGCCTCAGCTACACACATTGAGTTTTGTTGTTGTTTCTTCTGGGGTAATTCTTCATGGTGGGGTAATAAAATGTTCACGACAGGTCGGAGCAAAAACCATAGCATACCTAACCCTAAACTTTACCCAAAAAACTGTATTTAGTCATAGTACCTACCATAGTCAGTGTTTTATAACATTATTCGACTTGAGTTAGTCTAGACCTAATCGTTTTTCTTTCAATCAATTCATGTTTATGTGTGTAGAAAATAATCACTGTAGGAAAAGATTGAAGCGTCGCATCAAATCTGTTCACTAGTGATGTTAGACAGTGCGGTTGTAATGGTGTCTCAAACAAATCTAGTCTAGAATCTACACGCTTTGTCTAACAAGACCGTAGAATTTATAACAAATTTTATTGTATTTGATCAAGATTATAACATAGGTAGTTATATGTGTGTGGGCTTGTGTATGTAGTCAGCTGTCAAGTAAAATATGTGTCAAAACGTATGTAACTTTAAAAAAATATTTAAACCCTATAATATTGTAACGATCCTATGTTGTAAAGGTTGAGATTTGTGTTCGCTGACTAGAGTTAAGGCGTTGTTTGATGAAGAGTTGATCACATAACAACCCGATGTTATAAAGTATGGAAAGGTACGGCTAACCCAACTGTTCTCGGTATAACAGTAAGACGAATCATTCAATAGTTTATTTAGTTTCTTGTGAAAGTAAAATAAAAATCATTAAGATGTTAAATATAACAGTATTTTGTAAACAAACTAATTGTCCTAATTTTCTGAGCTTAACACTTAACAATGTATACAAATCCAAAAATTATGACAACAAACATCATTTGAAATTACACACCACTATGCACCAAATTGCACTAACATTGCACCAACATTGGGTTAATTCCCTTTGATAATGTACTTCTATCAGGAAGTGATTGTGTATCAACAATGGATTTAGTTAAGTTGGTAAGGTAGTGTAATCATTGATGCGTGCTGTAATTTAAAGTATCTAGTTCATATAACAATGACTTAGTTTCTATATAATATATCGTACCTCACCAAATTATCGAGACAAGTTGTCATTACCCAATCCATACGCTCAATAAAGCCAACAGAGAAAGTCTGAATTGTTTACTGACTACATCAAATGTTGGGTTCTCGTCAATATTTCATTACGGCATAGATCTTGTCGTAAAGTTTATACTTTACCGCAAACCAAAACCTAATATTATAACGTAAATAAAGATATGCGTATCTACGCGTGATACATTTATGTACGCGTAAGTCGTGTATGTATGCGTATTGGGTCGGATGTTAGAGCTCACGACTGCTAACCCGAAAGTGCCGGGTTCGAATCCCCGAGACTTACGTTTCTGAATGACGTTAAGGAAACAATGCGACATAGCATATTGCTGACCACACTATCCTCTGGTATGCTGAGGTCATTGAAACAGATAAACTCTTCTTCGTCTGTCAATTCTGTCGTCGGCACACACGGAAAATGAAAAGAAAATGAAATCAAAATATTTTTTTTCTTTTATCGCAGGGAAAGTGTCAATTCTTACAATTCCTAGTTTCATTGAGTTACCTCATCAGTGACCTCCCCTCAGCTGTCCGAGGTAAGATTTCCTTCCAGTCAAAGTTGAGCTAACTTACCTGTGTGTACTCACTTGGAATCTACATTTAAAGCTAGTGTTAGAGTTATTTTTTTTATTGGGTGTGTTGTAAATCTAAAACTATGGTCAGCTATACCGTCTCTTTCTTAGATAACTTGGGGTAAAAATGTCTCGGCTTTTTAACTCTTTAGGGGTGTATTCCAGTGCAGTTTTCCATAAACAACGATGTTTTAACCCTCTTGTATCCAATCTTTAAGCAAAACTCTATGAATCACGCAGCTTTAATTTTAACCCCCTAATTGCAGGCTCCAAATTAATTCAACCTCGTTATTTTAACTATATAGTTGCAGGCACCAACATCTAAGAACCACGCCACCGTTAACCCTCTACTTGCTGGCACCAAACTTTAACCCTCTACTTGCAGGCACCAAACTTTAACCCCCTACTTGCTGGCACCAAACTTTAACCCTCTACTTGCTGGCACCAAACTTTAACCCCCTACTTGCAGGCACCAAACTATAACCCTCTACTTGCTGACACCAAACTTTAACCCTCTACTTGCTGGCACCAAACTTTAACCCTCTACTTGCTGGCACCAAACTTTAACCCCCTACTTGCAGGCACCAAACTTTAACCCTCTACTTGCTGACACCAAACTTTAACCCTCTACTTGCTGGCACCAAACTTTAACCCTCTACTTGCTGGCACCAAACTTTAACCCCCTACTTGCAGGCACCAAACTTTAACCCTCTACTTGCAGGCACCAAACTTTAACCCTCTACTTGCTGGCACCAAACTTTAACCCTCTACTTGCTAGCACCTAACTCTGCCACCCACGCCACCTTTAACCCTCTACTTGCAGGCACCAAACTTTAAACTTTAACCCCCTACTTGCAGGCATCAAACTTTAACCCTTTACTTGCAGGCACCAAACTTTAACCCTTTACTTGCAGGCACCAAACCTTAACCCTCTACGTGCTGACACCAAACTTTAACCCTCTACTTGCTGACACCAAACTTTAACCCTCTACTTGCTGGCACCAAACTTTAACCCTCTACTTGCAGGCACCAAACTTTAACCCTCTACTTGCTGGCACCAAACTTTAACCCTCTACTTGCAGGCACCAAACTTTAACCCTCTACTTGCAGGCACCAAACTTTAACCCTCTACTTGCAGGCACCAAACTTTAACCCTCTACTTGCTGGCACCAAACTTTAACCCTCTACTTGCAGGCACCAAACTTTAACCCTCTACTTGCAGGCACCAAACTTTAACCCTCTACTTGCAGGCACCAAACTTTAACCCTCTACTTGCAGGCACCAAACTTTAACCCTCTACTTGCAGGCACCAAACTTTAACCCTCTACTTGCAGGCACCAAACTTTAACCCTCTACTTGCAGGCACCAAACTATAACCCTCTACTTGCAGGCACCAAACTTTAACCCTCTACTTGCAGGTTCCTCCTCTATTTTCGGCGACTACTTCGTCTTCCAGCTGCCCCACCTGAGCGCTTCCGGTCTGGCCACTGCGCATGTCTACACGCCGTACTTCCGCGTCCTGAGCGTGACCCAGGTCCTGACCTTCACCCCCAGGAGGAGCTCAGAGACCAGACACGTGACACGAAACTGGGCCACACATTTCAACATCCCAGTGGGACTGCTGTAGGTCATCTATAGGTCAATTGTAGGTCAACTTAGGTCATTTGTAGGTCAACTTAGGTCATTTGAAGGTCAACTGTAGGTCAACTATAGGTCAACTATAGGTCAACTTAGGTCATTTGTAGGTCAACTTAGGTCATCTATAGGTGAACTGTAGGCCAACTGTAGGTCAATTGTAGGTCAACTTAGGTCATTTGTAGGTCAACTATAGGTCAACTATAGGTCAACTTAGGTCATTTGTAGGTCAACTTAGGTCATCTATAGGTGAACTGTAGGCCAACTGTAGGTCAATTGTAGGTCAACTATAAGTCATATGTAGGTCAACTAAAGGTCAACTATTGGTCAACTAAAGGTCAACTGTAGGTCAACTATAGGTCAACTTAGGTCAACTATAGGTCAACTTAAGTCAACTGTAGGTCAACTGTATGTTAACTATAGGTAAACTGTTGTGGACATTGGACTGACTGTCTGGACACAAATTCTACTTGTACAGTAATGTACACCATCGCTGTGACGTAGATGTGACTTCCGACATTACATATTCTTGATCGAGTTCCTGTTTGTTTACCCTGCTTGTTTACATTTAACTGTAACCTCATTCATTAGCTTTAATTGTTTTGCTTATTACAATCTGATTCACACTGTTTTTAACAATCAAGTAAACGTTACATTTGTAATTCATTTTTGTGCAGGTCGTAAAAATTACATTCGACATTATAATCAGGCCGATACATCGATTATTAAAATAGCCTAATAGAGTTTTTTATGCTCTCTTAAAACAAAAAAAAAAACGATTTTCAGAAATTGAACTTGACCCACTTCAAATACAAAAAAATAAAATCTTAAAATAATTACTTCTCATCTTATTTGGACATAAATTTATTCCCAATACATATACATTCCCTCCCCCTCCCGTCTCCCCTCCCATCTCCCCTCCCGTCCCCCCTCCCGTCCCCCCTCCCCTCCCCCAGACCGTCTATCGGAGGACTGTCCGGTGCCATTGTCTACACGTCAGACGGCTTGTTCGGCGTTGACGTCATCCTCGCAGACAGAGATCACGGCAGTGGCGCGCTCCAGGTGGCGCCTGTCTCGGCGTTTGGTGTGGAGTATCACGCTGTCACGCTAGGGTAAGTTGCCATCATGCCCTCACGCTGGGGTAAGTAGCGATCACACAGTCACGCTGGGGTAAGTAGCTATCACACAGTCACGCTGGGGTAAGTAGCGATCACACAGTCACGCTGGGGTAAGTAGCGATCATACAGTCACTATGGGGTAAGTAGCGATCATACAGTCACTATGGGGTAAGTAGCGATCACGTCTATACAAGGGGTTCACACGTTGTTCAACTAAACTTAATCGTGATTCTACTGCCACGCTGGTATAACTAGCGATCATGTAAATAAAATCACGTTGTCACGTTGGTGTAAGCTAATTAGTGAATTTCGATTATGCTTTTTTGATAGAGTATACATACCCAATGTTCCACTCATCAACATCTTTAAACATACCCACACTCATTAGTCAAGACTATTTTGTGTGATTAACTATGCACAGCATTACCCCCTCCCCCCCCCCCCCCGCATCCCCAGAGAGAACCCTATGGTCCTCATCATCTCCAGTCAGCTGACCACCGTGACTGTGGTCATCCGGAACGGCCTGCCTAGACTGTTCCGCTTCACCTACCAGAGGAGGGACTACACCCACGGGGACACGTTCCAGATCACCATGCAACGGTAGGGGTGGGGGGGGGAGTGGCACATTACCTGGGGTGTGTGTGGGGGGGGAGTGGCACTTTACTCTGAGTGTGTGTGGGGGTTGGGGGGGGGGGAGTGGCACGTTACTCGGGGTGTGTGTAGGGGGTGGGGGAGAGTGTGGAGTGGCACTTTACTCTGAGTGTGTGTGTGGGGGGGGGGGGTGGGGGGAGTGGCACGTTACTTGTGGTGTTGGGGGGTGTGGTGGTAGTGGAGTGGTACTTTACCCGGGGTGTGTGTGTGTGGGGGAGTGGCACTTTACTTGGGGTGTGTTAGTTGTGGGGTGGAAGGGGAGTGGCACTTTACTTGGGGTGTGTGTGGGGGGGGGGAGTGGCACTTTACCTGGGGTGTGGGGGTGGTGTGGTTGTAGTGGAGTGGTGGTAGTGGAGTGGCACTTTACCCGAGGTGTGTTTGTTGGGGGGGGGAGTGGCATTTTACTCGGCGTGGGGGGTGGTTGTCAGAAGTGTGGCACTTAGCAAGTGTCACTTTGAATAGATTGTGGGGAAGGGGATTTGGTAAGGGCGTTTAAACTAAGTGTATGAGACTGAACTTCGCTCCATGCGCTTGTTAGTGTGTTTGCTATTTTGTTCAAGCATATGTCAAATTAAAAACAAAAATGGTTGGGATAGCGCAGTTCTAAAATATTTTGTTAATTAATAATTTTTGCAACATCCCGTAAATAAAGATTACGTGGGGTCTATATTTAGAAGCTCTAATTACTAGTGTAATCAACTTAGTTAATTAACAACCTGCTGAACCTGGTGCCCTGGTTCCAACCTACAGGGAACAGGTTTTCTCACTACAGCACTGCACGACAGAGGAGAAAAATCTGGGCACACTTACAGGTGAGTGCTCAATCTGGTCATTAGTGGCTGGCTAATTGGAATTAGTGGCGGTAATTGGTGGCTAATTGGAATTAGTGGCGGTAATTGGTGGCTAATTGGAATTAGTGGCGGTAATTGGTGGCTAATTGGAATTAGTGACGGTAATTGGTGGCTAATTGGAATTAGTGGCGGTAATTGGTGGCTAATTGGAATTAGTGGCGGTAATTGGTGGCTAATTGGAATTAGTGGCGGTAATTGGTGGCTAATTGGAATTGGTAGCGGTAATTGGTGGCTAATTGGAATTGGTAGCGGTAATTGGTGGCTAATTGGAATTAGTGGCGGTAATTGGTGGCTAATTGGAATTGGTAGCGGTAATTGGTGGCTAATTGGAATTAGTGGCGGTCAGTGGTGGCTAATTGTAATTAGTGGCGGTAATTGGTGGCTAATTGGAATTGGTAGCGGTAATTGGTGGCTAATTGGAATTGGTAGCGGTAATTGGTGGCTAATTGGAATTGGTAGCGGTAATTGGTGGCTAATTGGAATTAGTGGCGGTAATTGGTGGCTAATTGGAATTAGTGGCGGTAATTGGTGGCTAATTGGAATTAGTGGCGGTAATTGGTGGCTAATTGGAATTGGTAGCGGTAATTGGTGGCTAATTGGAATTGGTAGCGGTAATTGGTGGCTAATTGGTAGCGGTAATTGGTGGCTAATTGGAATTATTTGTGGTCATTTGTGGCTAATTGTAAGTAGTAGTAGTTAGTAGCTGGCTAATAGTAATTAGAAGCAGTTCATGGCTGGCCAATTGTCGTTGGTAGCGTTAATTGGTGGCTAGTTGTAAGTGGCAGTGGTATGGTTACTGTAATAAGTAGCGCTAATAGTTGCCATTTGTAATAAATAGTTTAATTTTAAATAAAACTAGTAGCTAAAGTTGGTTGCTAATTGTAATTTGTGGAGATAACTACTTGCCAATTAGAACAAAGGCGTGCTATTTTAAAACTATTAAATGTATTCATTATTAAGTTAAGGTATTGTCACAAATGCATTATAAATATGTCACAATGACATCATAAATATGTCACAGTGACATCATAAATATGTCACAGTTGTGATCCTGGTCTCTCAGCTTATGACACGAAGTATCGAAGTGGAGTCAGTAATACGCTATTTCAGCGTCAGCCAGTTGTTAGTGCGTCAAAGAGTCAAAGATCCCAGCTCCCTTCCACACTGACAAACTTCCAACAACTTACCCCTGTTATGGTTGGGGTTAGGATATGGCTGAGATGGCGACCGGAAAACTGCGCACACAAAAGTGCGCAAGGGCATTTTTATTTTCTTAAATCGAGCAAAAAGTATTTCCATGTTTTTTTGTGGCAAAGTTTGACTCAAATATCCCAAACTTTAACAAATACACGCGTACATACAAACATACAAACACACACCCTCCTGCTATTTGATGTAAACAAATAAACCCTGCGCCACACTGATCTATTTTAGACTCCCATATCCTCAGTACTAGACCCATTGGGCTCATCGCCGGCAGCTGTTGGTCTAGGTTGGAGGAGGTCATCAGCTGTGTCAAGAAACAGAAGGAGCCGGACATAGCCGTAGGTAGGTCATCAGCCGGACATTAGCCGTACATAGCCGTAGGTAGGTCATCAGCCGGACATAGCCGTAGGTAGGTCATCAGCCGGACAGCCGGACATTAGCCGTAGGTAGGTCATCAGCCGGACATAGCCGTAGGTAGGTCATCAGCCGGACAGCCGGACATTAGCCGTAGGTAGGTCATCAGCCGGACATAGCAGTAGGTAGGTCATCAGCCGGACAGCCGGACATTAGCCGGACATAGCCGTAGGTAGGTCATCAGCCGGACATAGCCGTAGGTAGGTCATCAGCCGGACATAGCTGTAGGTAGGTCTGCAGCCGGACCTAGCCGTAGGTAGGTCATCAGCCGGACATAGCCGTAGGTAGGTCATCAGCCGGACATAGCCGTAGGTAGGTCATCAGCCGGACATAGCCGTAGGTAGGTCATCAGCCGGACATAGCTGTAGGTAGGTCATCAGCCGGACATAGCTGTAGGTAGGTCATCAGCCGGACAGCCGTAGGTAGGTCATCAGCCGGACATAGCCGTAGGTAGGTCATCAGCCGTACATAGCCGTAGGTAGGTCATCAGCCGGACATAGCCGTAGGTAGGTCATCAGCCGGACATAGCTGTAGGTAGGTCATCAGCCGGACATAGCCGTAGGTAGGTCATCAGCCGGACATAGCTGTAGGTAGGTCATCAGCCGGACATAGCCGTAGGTAGGTCATCAGCCGGACATAGCCGTAGGTAGGTCATCAGCCGGACATAGCCGTAGGTAGGTCATCAGACGGACATAGCTGGACATAGCCGTAAGTAGGTCATCAGCCGGACATAGCCGTAGGTAGGTCATTAGCCGGACATAGCCGTAGGTAGGTCATTAGCCGGACATAGCCGAAGGTAGGTCATCAGCCGGACATAGCCGGACATTAGCCGGACATAGCCGTAGGTGAGACATTAGCCGGACATAGCCGTAGGTAGGTCATTAGCCGGACATAGCCGTAGGTAGGTCATCAGCCGGACATAGCCGGACATAGCCGTAGGTGAGACATTAGCCGGACATTAGCCGGACATTAGCTGGACATAGCCGTAGGTGAGACATTAGCCGGACATAGGCGGACATTAGCCAGACATTAGCCGGACATTAGCCGGACATAGCCGTAGGTGAAACATTAGCCGGACATAGCCGTAGGTGAAACATTAGCCGGACATAGCCGTAGGTGAGATATTAGCCGGACATTAGCCGGACATAGCCGTAGGTGAGATATTAGCCGGACATTAGCCGGATATAGCCGTAGGTAGGTCATCAGCCGGAGATTAACCGTACATTGGCAGGACATTAGCCGGAAATTAGCCGGAAATAGCCGGACATTAGACGGACATTGGTCGGACATAGCCGTAGATGAGTCATCAGCCGGACATTAGCCGGACATTGGATGGACGTAGCCGGACATTAGCCTTTACATAGCCGGACATAGCCTTAGGTGAGTCATCATCTGGACATAGCCGTAGTTGAGTTATCAGCCGGACAATACTCGGACAGTACTGAAGGTTACATAATCTCCTATTATGTAATCAATCTATTGTCGACTGTACAAGTATGAAAGACCCGACTTTTCTTTAGCCTTCACGGCATCACCCTTAGATAAGGGACATTTCATAATTGTAACGTCCTAATTAAGCTTTCGTCTAATCAAATTACAAAGTGAGTAACTACATTCCTCCACCCCCTCCCCCCTAGAGATGCTCCTCCCTACCTCCAGCTACGGCAAGACGTTTCTCATCCCGTCTGTTGACGTCATTGAACTCAGGTACTACGGCGTCGTCGTGACGTCACAGCGGAGCACCGTCATCCGGTTCTATGAAGGCGTCTTCGGTAAATTCTACCTCCAGACTATAGCTGAGTCGGGGAGTTCTAGAACTGTGAGTTCTTGTGTCAGACTATAGCTGAGTCGGGGAGTTCTAGAACTGTGAGTTCTTGTGTCAGACTATAGCTGAGTCGGGGAGTTCTAGAACTGTGAGTTCTTGTGTCAGACTATAGCTGAGTCGGGGAGTTCTAGAACTGTGAGTTCTTGTGTCAGACTATAGCTGAGTCGAGAGTTCTAGAACTGTGAGTTCTTGTGTCAGACTATAGCTGAGTCGGGGAGTTCTAGAACTGTGAGTTGTTGTGTCAGACTATAGCTGAGTCGGGGAGTTCTAGAACTGTGAGTTCTTGTGTCAGACTATAGCTGAGTCGGGGAGTTCTAGAACTGTGAGTTGTTGTGTCAGTTCTAGAACTGTGAGTTGTTGTGTCAGTTCTAGAACTGTGAGTTGTTGTGTCAGGTCTAGAACTGTGAGTTGTTGTTGTCAGTTCTAGAACTGTGAGTTGTTGTGTCAGACTATAGCTGAGTCGGGGAGTTCTAGAACTGTGAGTTGGTGTGTCAGACTATAGCTGAGTCGGGGAGTTCTAGAACAGTGAGTTGTTGTGTCAGGTCTAGAACTGTGAGTTGTTGTGTCAGGTCTAGAACTGTGAGTTGGTGTGTCAGGTCTAGAACTGTGAGTTGTATCAGGTCTAGAACTGTGAGTTGTTGTGTCAGGTCTAGAACTGTGAGTTGTTGTGTCAGGTCTAGAACTGTGAGTTGTTGTGTTAATTCTAGAACTGTGAGTTGTTGTGTTGGTTCTAGAACTGTGAGTTGTTGTGTCAGGTCTAGAACTGTGAGTTGTTGTGTCAGGTCTAGAACTGTGAGTTGTTGTGTTAATTCTAGAACTGTGAGTTGTTGTGTCAGGTCTAGAACTGTGAGTTGTTGTGTCAGGTCTAGAACTGTGAGTTCTTGTGTCAGGTCTAGAACTGTGAGTTGTTGTGTTAATTCTAGAACTGTGAGTTGTTGTGTCAGGTCTAGAACTGTGAGTTGTTGTGTCAGGTCTAGAACTGTGAGTTCTTGTGTCAGGTCTAGAACTGTGAGTTGTTGTGTCAGGTCTAGAACTGTGAGTTGTTGTGTCAGGTCTAGAACTGTGAGTTGTTGTGTCAGGTCTAGAACTGTGAGTTGTTGTGTCAGGTCTAGAACTGTGAGTTGTTGTGTTGGTTCTAGAACTGTGAGTTGTTGTGTCAGGTCTAGAACTGTGAGTTGTTGTGTCAGGTCTAGAACTGTGAGTTGTTGTTTCAGGTCTAGAACTGTGAGTTGTTGTGTCAGTTCTAAAAATGTGAGTTGTTGTGTCAGGTCTAGAACTGTGAGTTGTTGTGTCAGGTCTAGAACTGTGAGTTCTTGTGTCAGGTCTAGAACTGTGAGTTCTTGTCAGGTCTAGAACTGTGAGTTGTTGTGTCAGGTCTAGAACTGTGAGTTGTTGTGTCAGTTCTAAAAATGTGAGTTGTTGTGTCAGGTCTAGAACTGTGAGTTGTTGTGTCAGGTCTAGAACTGTGAGTTGTTGTGTTAATTCTAAAAATGTGAGTTGTTGTGTCAGGTCTAGAACTGTGAGTTGTTGTGTCAGGTCTAGAACTGTGAGTTGTTGTGTCAGGTCTAGAACTGTGAGTTGTTGTGTCAGGTCTAGAACTGTGAGTTGTTGTGTCAGGTCTAGAACTGTGAGTTGTTGTGTCAGGTCTAGAACTGTGAGTTGTTGTGTCAGTTCTAAAAATGTGAGTTGTTGTGTCAGGTCTAGAACTGTGAGTTGTTGTGTCACTTCTAGAACTGTGAGTTGTATCAGTTCTAGAACATTGAGTTGTGTCATTTTGTCTGTCATCTCTGTGTCTTCTACGTGTCATCAATCTATAATGTACATGTCATTTAACTTTCAATTATCTTTAATCTAATCTAATAGTTTTTAAATTAATTTTTTATTTCTTTTGCAAGCAATATACACGCGTTATTTCTTATCATTTGAATAACATGAGAATGTCATCTAAATGCCATCATCCCCTGCATGTCACCTACCCCAGGTATCCCTGAAGGTACCCCAGCTGCTGACGTCAAATAAACCAATCGTCTGCTACCTGTTTGTGGAAGCGTCATGTGATGTGCAAGTGGGCGGGCCCTCCATGACGCTCGTGGTCCCAGCCGAACTTTTCCTAAACCACTACATATGGAAGTGAGTACCATCCAGTACCGTCCATAGCCGTCCATAGCCGTACAGTACCGTCCATAGCAGTCTATAGCCGTCCAGTACCGTCCATAGCAGTCCATAGCCGTCCAGTGCTGTCCATAGCCGTCCATAGCAGTCCATAGCCGTCCAGTACAGTCCATAGCCGTTCAGTACCGTCCAGTGCCGTCCATAGCCGTCCATAGCCGTCCATAGCAGTCCATAGCCGTCCAGTACCGTCCATAGCAGTCCATAGCCGTCCATAGCAGTCCATAGCAGTCCATAGCCGTCCAGTACCGTCCATAGCCGTCCATAGCCGTCCATAGCAGTCCATAGCCGTCCAGTACCGTCCATAGCCGTCCATAGCCGTCCAGTACCGTCCAGTACCGTCCATAGCCGTCCAGTACCGTCCATAGCCGTCCAGTACCGTCTATAGTCGTCCAGTACTGTCCTGTACAGTCCAGTACCGTCCAGTATTATACAGAAGTATACCATACCATTCAGTAACATACACATTGCCATACGGTATAATACTATTAATACAGTACTATCCAGTACTATATACACTACCATCCAGTTCAACATAAATTTATCCAGAAACGCCTAGTTCTGTCCTGTCCAATATTTAACTGCGTACAGTGGAATGCCAGAGTTAAGCACATGTGACGTCACACCACGTTCAGTATGACGTCAGGGAACCACATCCTAAATTGTTTATGGTATATAAACCATTGTGAACTCGACGGTCCATGGAGCAGGTGAAGTTCATCTGTTTCTGTGACCTCGATATATTATGAAGAGATGGTGCGGTCAGCACTATACCGATCCGCCTTAATGTTCCATAACGTGAGTTAGGTACCCATTTTAGCTGGGTAGACTCAGGGACGCTTTACTGGCTTTAACCCGGATTCGAACTCGAGACTTTCGAGACAACAGTCTAGCGCTCTATCACTAGGCCACGCTGTCCCATAAATTATTATCGTCTTATTGTCCTGTGATGTTGCTAGTGAAAGCGTCGTGTTGTTGCTTTATAATTAACGAGCCGACCCGCGGTGTATCATACTCCGCTATTTAGTTGTTTTTGCTACTTTTCAGTAATTCATAATTTGCGAATTCGACAGTACCAATGCTGCCACTGAAAATATTTGCTTTTAAACACTTTGCTTTAAAACTACAACTCACCTGACCATATGAGGGGGTGGGGGTGGGGGTGGGGGGGGGTGGTAGCGATGGAGAGGAAGAGAGGGGACTGCAAGGCGCGCGCTTGCAGCTTGTTTTCTAATGTCTCCCAGAAGAGAATTATATATATACGAGCCGACCCGCGGCATATCATACACCGCTATTTAGTTGTTGTTTTTTCTTCTTTTCAGTTATTCATAATTTAAAACACTATAAGTAGCTCGTTAAGGACGATAACTCACCCCCTCCTCCCCCACCTCCGTTAAAGTAAACTCCACTTAGTTACCCCCCCCCCCCCCCACCCCCCTACGTTTAAAATCGTTTCAAACTAAATTATCTGCCCCTAATAGCCGTCACTAAACCCGACTCCACGAAGGTAAACATAGCGTGAACCACAGCTCACTAAGACCATGTAGGGGTGGGGATGGTAGAGAGCGCGTTTACAGCTTGTTTTCTAGCGTCTCCCAGAAGAGAATTATATATATATAGAAGATAGATAGATTGGTTGGATACCAAACGTCTTTGTTAATAAATTGAACACAAAAATGTCCTCTCTGTCCTCCATGTCCTGCTAGCACAGATGACCTTGTATGGAAGGACATGAAGTTTTACGTCATCATTGTCATCAAGGCGACTGACAGGGGGTACTTGCGTGTGAGCGGGGAGCAGATCAGGTAAATGTCATCTAGGTTAGGTACATGTCATATTTGTCAGGTCAATGTCATCTAGGTCAGGTCAATGTCATCTATGTCAGGTAAATATCATCTATGTCAGGTAAATGTCATCTAGGTCAGGTAAATGTCATCTAGATCAGGTAATGTCATCTAGATCAGGTAATGTCATCTAGATCAGGTAAATGTCATCTAGATCAGGTAATGTCATCTAGATCAGGTAATGTCATCTAGATCAGGTAATGTCATCTAGGTCAGGTAAATGTCATCTAGGTCAGGTAAATGTCATCTAGATCAGGTAATGTCATCTAGATCAGGTAAATGTCATATAGGTCAGGTAAATGTCATCTAGGTCAGGTCAATGTCATCTATGTCAGGTAAATGTCATCTAGGTCAGATAAATGTCATCTAGGTCAGGTAAATGTCATCTAGGTCAGGTCAATGTCATATAGGTCAGGTCAATGTCATCTAGGTCAGGTCAATGTCATCTAGGTCAGATAAATGTCATCTAGGTCAGGTAAATGACATCTATGTCAGGTAAATGACATCTATGTCAGGTAAATGACATCTAGGTCGGGTAGATGTCATCTTTGTAAGGTAGATGTCATGTAGGTCAGGTAAATGTCATCTGTCAGATCAATGTCATCTAGGTCGGGTAGATGTCATATAGGTCAGGTAAATGTCATCTATGTCAGGTATATGTCATCTAGATCAGGTAATTGGCATCTAGGTCAGGTAAATGACATCTATGTCAGGTCAATGTCATCTATGTCAGGTAAATGCCATCTAGGTCAGATAAATGTCATCTAGGTCAGGTAAATGTCATCTAGGTCAGGTCAATGTCATATAGGTCAGGTCAATGTCATCTAGGTCAGGTCAATGTCATCTAGGTCAGATAAATGTCATCTAGGTCAGGTAAATGACATCTATGTCAGGTAAATGACATCTATGTCAGGTAAATGACATCTAGGTCGGGTAGATGTCATCTTTGTAAGGTAGATGTCATGTAGGTCAGGTAAATGTCATCTGTCAGATCAATGTCATCTAGGTCGGGTAGATGTCATATAGGTCAGGTAAATGTCATCTATGTCAGGTATATGTCATCTAGATCAGGTAATTGGCATCTAGGTCAGGTAAATGACATCTATGTCAGGTAAATGATATCTATGTCAGGTAAATGACATCTATGTCAGGTAAACGTCATCTAGATCAGGTAATTGGCATCTAGATCAGGTAATTGTCATATTTGTCAGGTAAATGTCATCTAGGTCAGGTAATCGTCATCTAGGTCAGGTAAATGTAGTATGTCATGTCAGGTAAATATGTAGGTCGGGTGCATATCATTTAGGTCAGAAATATCCTGAAAGTCAATTCAGTTAAATATCATGTAAGTTAATACTACATAGGTTAGGTCAGGTAAATATCATTCTAGTAAGGCCAGTAAATATCATGAAGGCTAGACTGTTAGCTATCAGTTTATACCCGATAAATGTGGGTGTGGCTTACCACATCCCCCACCGCCACATTGCCACAGACGTGATGGGTTGTGACGTGTTTCAGGACGTGGAGGTGGCGGGCCATGCACGGTGCCAGACTGTGGACTCTGGCCACGGGTCAACTGAGGAGGGACACGTATGACGCCACACTGGACCACGGGGGGTCGGGCTTTGGCTGCTATCTGTACGGCTATCGTGAGAAGAACTCCATCTTCAAAACCAACGGCTACATCGTTTCAGACATACACGCGGTATGTAATTATTGGGGCGGTGGTGACGTGGTCGAGTGGTAGAGCGATTGATTGCTATACTAAAGGTTTCGAGTTCGGATCTTGGTCAGGATTCGTGATTGAATGACGTCACTGAATCAAACTTTGTTGGGTACCTGTGTACCGTAAGGGAAAGTACAGGCGGGTGCTCCTATTACTGACCACACCGTCATATTCCAAGGTAAAGAGACACGTGAACTCTACTTTATCTGTGCTACGGATCATTACGTCTGAAAGGGAAAGTTTAAATAACTAACGGGTACATCTTCTAAGATGTACATATGTTGTGTGGCGCTTCTACACAGAATTTCTCCACCCCCCCCCCCTCGAACCACATGGAAATTTTAGTCCCCCCCCCCCCCGAAAATTATTTCGATACCCCCCCCCCCCCCAACTCATGAGAAGAAAAGTTGAAGAAACAGTGTTATACATACATAAGGCTTTGTTTCACAAGTTGTATTTTTTTTTTACACTGTTTAAGTTTGAGAAAACGTGCTTGTGAAAGAAAGTTGAACTTCTTAGTAGAGTGGAGGAGTGGACAAGTTAAAATATTCTATTTGAAATGTTTTTGTTTTTTTCTATTTGATCTATTGTGTGTGTTTTTTTTCTATTTGGTCTATTGTGTTTTTTTTCTTTTTGGTCTATTGTGTTTTTTTTTCTATTTGGTCTATTGTGTTTTTTTTTCTATTTGGTCTATTGTGTTTTTTTTTCTATTTGGTCTATTGTGTTTTTTTTTCTATTTGGTCTATTGTGTGTACCCAGAAAGATTGTAACTCATCGCTACGCCCTATGACAGAGGGAGACTATGAGGATAACGATTGTGATGGAAGAATTGATGAAGAGATAGATAACAATCAAGGTCAGACCACTGAGATTTGATGTTTGTAATATCAAAAAAAATATTGGCACGAGCTAAATTGATATATTTGTCTGAGCTTAACAAATAAATATACATATTTTTCTTAGTATCTAGGACGATTTATATCAAATAATTTGTTTCTTTTGGTAAATCTTTTTTTATTGTTAATGTAAATAATAACCGATCTAAAGCATAGGCCAAAACTAGTTAAAGTATGTTAGGATTAATATAAATAGTAACGATTAATTTTGTGTTATAATAACTTTAGAATTGTTTATCTGTGTGTAGATGACGATGATGACGGACGAATCGATGAAGATCTCTGTGGTGTAGGGGAAGGTAAAAATCTCTCAATTCATGTTGTCTGTCGATATTTTAAGTAGAGGCGGGCGTGGTCGGATGGTACAGCTTACGACAACTAGTCAGCAAGTCTCGAGTTCGCATCCCGGAGTCTGTAGGACGTTCTAGTCTACCCAGGTCTATGTCAGGGGTACTAAAGCTACTGGGACTATTCCTGGCCACACTATTCCCCTGTATGTCGAGGTCATTAAAACAGATGAACTCTACTTCACCTGGGTCTATGACTACCGTGTTAACACATTCGATCTTTTCTGGTTTTCTTTCTATGGATTAAAAGATTTCACTACACACCGCACCGGTAAAATTCTTCTGGGTGGGCCCTTGGAAAGGCCACCCTCCCTTACAGTCCATGCTAAGTCACTGGTTGACTTTTGTGACACATGTGTATTATCTGACACACGTGTACTATATGACACATGTGTATTATGTTGACACATGTGTATTATATGACACTTTGTATTATAAGACATATGTTTGATATGACACTTGGTATTATATGACACATGTGTATCATATGACTGTCAAGTCGTTTCACTCCCCTTAAACTTGAGCACATTTCAAGATGACGTGTCGACTTTATTTTCTCAGAGAACGGTGGGTGGGGCCACTGGGAGCCCTGGAGCTGTAGGTCATCGTGTGGCTCGTCCAATTTCTACGCCAGCAGGTCAGCTCATATCACGTGATTGAACTATATTTAGATATCCGGTGTTAATGCTTGTATGAAACTAACGTAATAGATCTATATTTAGATTTCCGGTGTTAATGCTTGTATGAAACTAACGTAATAGAACTATATTTAGATTTCCGGTGTTAATGCTTGTATGAAACTAACGTAATAGAACTATATTTAGATTTCCGGTGTTAATGCTTGTATGTTCATGTTCCAATTTCTCTAGCCATCATGATCACGTTCTATTCTGTCTAGCCATCATGATCACGTTCTTTTCTGTCTAGCCATCATGATCACGTTCTATTCTGTCTAGCCATCAAGATCACGTTCTATTCTGTCTAGCCATCATGATCACGTTCTATTCTGTCTAGCCATCATGATCACGTTCTATTCTGTCTAGCCATCATGATCACGTTCTATTCTGTCTAGCCATCATGATCACGTTCTATTCTGTCTAGCCATCATGATCACGTTCTATTCTGTCTAGCCATCATGATCACGTTCTATCCTGTCTAGCCATCAAGATCACGTTCTATTCTGTCTAGCCATCAAGATCACGTTATATTCTGTCTAGCCATCAAGATCACGTTATATTCTGTCACGTTACAGACAGTGTGACAGCCCCGCTCCCAGGGGGACGGGCCAGTACTGCCCGGGGTTTCGTTACAAGCGCGGCGTGGGAGTCTGTGATACAGGCATACCGTGTGGTCAAAGTAAGGTTACTGTAGGTCAAAGTAAGGTTACTGTAGGTCAAAGTAAGGTTACTGTGTGGTCAAAATAAGGTTACTGTAGGTCAAAGTAAGGTTACTGTAGGTCAAAGTAAGGTTACTGTAGGTCAAAGTAAGGTTACTGTAGGTCAAAGTAAGGTTACTGTAGGTCAAAGTAAGGTTACTGTAGGTCAAAGTAAGGTTACTGTGTGGTCAAAGTAAGGTTACTGTGTGGTCAAAGTAAGGTTACTGTAGGTCAAAGTAAGGTTACTGTAGGTCAAAGTAAGGTTACTGTAGGTCAAAGTAAGGTTACTGTGTGGTCAAAGTAAGGTTACCGTGTGGTCAAAGTAAGGTTACTGTGTGGTCAAAGTAAGGTTACTGTGTGATCAAAGTAAGGTTACTGTAGGTCAAAGTAAGGTTACTGTAGGTCAAAGTAAGGTTACTGTGTGGTCAAAGTAAGGTTAATGTATGTCAAAGTAAGGTTACTGTGTGGTTAAAGTAAAGTTACTGTAGGTCAAAGTAAGGTTACTGTAGGTCAAAGTAAGGTTACTGTAGGTCAAAGTAAGGTTACTGTAGGTCAAAGTAAGGTTACTGTAGGTCAAAGTAAGGTTACTGTGTAGTAAAATTAAGGTTACTGTCTGGTCAAAGTAAGGTTACTGTAGGTCAAAGTAAGGTTACTGTAGGTCAAAGTAAGGTTACTGTAGGTCAAAGTAAGGTTACTGTCTGGTCAAAGTAAGGTTACTGTGTGGTAAAATTAAGGTTACTGTCTGGTCAAAGTAAGGTTACTGTAGGTCAAAGTAAGGTTACTGTAGGTCAAAGTAAGGTTACTGTAGGTCAAAGTAAGGTTACTGTAGGTCAAAGTAAGGTTACTGTAGGTCAAAGTAAGGTTACTGTAGGTCAAAGTAAGGTTACTGTAGGTCAAAGTAAGGCTACTGTAGGTCAAAGTAAGGTTACTGTAGGTCAAAGTAAGGTTACTGTAGTTCAAAGTAAGGTTACTGTAGGTCAAAGTAAGGTTACTGTAGGTCAAAGTAAGGTTACTGTAGGTCAAAGTAAGGTTACTGTAGGTCAAAGTAAGGTTACTGTAGGTCAAAGTAAGGTTACTGTAGGTCAAAGTAAGGTTACCAATGACCTCACTGTTGTTTTTCAGCAGATTATACGAATGTCCTTTTAAAAAATTAATTATCCAGATTTTCATAAAAATGGCCCTCTTGCCCCAAAATGCCCATCTCTCCCAAAAAATGTCAATCTCTTCCCAACATTTCAATGACCCCTAAATGTCTCCTCCAAATTTCCATCTCCTCAAATATTAATGTCCATCTCTCCCCAAAAATGTCCACATGCCGACTCCAATGTCCAGGAAAATGTCCACAGATTGTCCACCCGGCCACTACGGGCGGGACTGTAGCGGCGACTGCTCCATGTGTCTCACAGACTGTAACCACATCAACGGCAGCTGTAGCGTGTGTAAGGCAGGCTGGCAGGACCCTCAGGATGGGTGTATCACACGTAGGTGGGGGGGGGGGGGTGTGGTTGGGTGGGGGTGGGGGTGAAGGGGGGGGGGGGGGGTAGGTGGGGGTGGGGGTGACCAGATCAACGGCAGCTGTAGCGTGTGTAAGGCAGGCTGGCAGGATCCTCAGGATGGGTGTTTCACACATAGGTGGGGGGGGGGGGTGTGGCGGTGGGGTGGGGGTGGGGTGGGGTGACCAGATCAACGGCAGCTGTAGCGTGTGTAAGGCAGGCTGGCAGGATCCTCAGGATGGGTGTATCACACGTAGGTGGGGGTGGGGGTGAGGGGGTAGGTGGGGGTGGGGGGTAGGTGGGGGTGGGGGTGACCAGATCAACGGCAGCTGTAGCGTGTGTAAGGCAGGCTGGCAGGATCCTCAGGATGGGTGTATCACACTTAGGTGGGGGGTGGGGGTGAGGGGGTAGGTGGGGGTGGGGGGTAGGTGGGGGTGGGGGTGGGGGTGACCAGATCAACGGCAGCTGTAGCGTGTGTAAGGCAGGCTGGCAGGACCCTCAGGATGGGTGTATCACACGTAGGTGGGGATGGGGGGTGAGGGGATGGGGGTGAGGGGGTGGGGGTGGCAGGACCCTCAAGATGGGTGTATCACACTTAGGTGGAGCGGAATCAAGAGAGTGGGGGTGGGGGAGGAGTTATGAGTGTGCTAGTTGTGTTTGGGGGAGGAGGTGTGGGTGTGTGCATGGGGAGAGTTTTGTGTGGGGGAGGAGTTGTGTGGAAACACCTCCTTCAGCCCTCCCTCCCTCTCCCCCACTCTAGCCACTGTTTACCCGCCCCCACTCTAACCACTGTTTACCCACCCCCCCCCCACTCTAGCCACTGTTGACACTATCCCCAGCTTGCCCCAAGTGGACATACGGCTTCCAGTGTCGGGAGCTGTGTGAGATCAAGTGTGGAGCGGATTGTATCGAGCGTGTCGAGGGGTTCTGTCAAGGTAGGGGTCAGAAGAGGGGTTCTGTCAAGGTAGGGTCAGTGGAGGGGTTCTGTCAAGGTAGGTCAGTGGAGGGGTTCTGTCAAGGTAGGGTCAGTGGAGGGGTTCTGTCAAGATAGGGTCAGTGGAGGGGTTCTGTCAAGGTAGGGTCAGTGGAGGGGTTCTGTCAAGATAGGGTCAGTGGAGGGGTTCTGTCAAGATAGGGTCAGTGGAGGGGTTCTGTCAAGGTAGGGTCAGTGGAGGGGTTCTGTCAAGGTAGGTCAGTGGGGTGGGGGAGGTTCTGTCAAGGTAGGGCCAGTGTAGGGGTTCTGTCAAGGTAGGGCCAGTGGAGGGGTTCTGTCAAGGTAGGGCCAGTGGAGGGGTTCTGTCAAGGTAGGGTCAGTGGAGGGGTTCTGTCAAGGTAGGTCAGTGGAGGGGTTCTGTCAAGGTAGGGTCAGTGGAGGGGTTCTGTCAAGATAGGGTCAGTGGAGGGGTTCTGTCAAGGTAGGGTCAGTGGAGGGGTTCTGTCAAGATAGGGTCAGTGGAGGGGTTCTGTCAAGATAGGGTCAGTGGAGGGGTTCTGTCAAGGTAGGGTCAGTGGAGGGGTTCTGTCAAGATAGGGTCAGTGGGGGGGTTCTGTCAAGATAGGGTCAGTGGAGGGGTTCTGTCAAGGTAGGGTCAGTGGAGGGGTTCTGTCAAGGTAGGTCAGTGGGAGGGGGGAGGTTCTGTCAAGGTAGGGCCAGTGTAGGGGTTCTGTCAAGGTAGGGCCAGTGGAGGGGTTCTGTCAAGGTAGGGCCAGTGGAGGGGTTCTGTCAAGGTAGGGCCAGTGGAGGGGTTCTGTCAAGGTAGGGTCAGTGGAGGGGCTTTGTCAAGGTAGGGCCAGTGGGGGGGGGTTCTGTCAAGGTAGGGCCAGTGGGGGGGTTCTGTCAAGGTAGGGTCAGTGGAGGGGTTCTGTCAAGGTAGGGTCAGTGGAGGGGTTCTGTCAAGGTAGGGTCCGTGGAGGGGTTCTGTCAAGGTAGGGTCAGTGGAGGGGTTCTGTCAAGGTAGGGCCAGTGGAGGGGTTCTGTCAAGGTAGGGTCAGTGGAGGGGTTCTGTCAAGGTAGGGTCAGTGGAGGGGTTCTGTCAAGGTAGGGTCAACTAGCTGCCTACACTCACGTACGGCTTTCTTGGTTCTAATTAGAGAAAAAGTTTTACAACGATTGAGAGATCAGACTTTATTCATTTGTTAAATATATTTTTATTATATTATTTTATTATTATATTATTATACTTGTATCTGATCATCTACAGATTCGAAGCTGTTGTTTCACATGCTGGCGCCCATTTTAAGCATGTGCCTATTTAGTTCCATCGTCTTTACTGTTATATGGTAGGTATGACAGAGCCTATACAGTTACAATAACTATGATACACACCAAGATTATTATAGTGTAGGTTAGACACTGCCTCCATCATCCTCACAATACATGGTAGGTAAACCTTGGTCCTTTAGGTCTTGTATGATAAATATGTAGGTATAACTCGGTATGACATTGAGCATGTCTTCTTAGCTCCCCCCACCCCCTCATCACCACAATTATATGTTACAATTGAGACACCCCCCTCATCACCAAAATTATATGTTAGATTTGAGCCAAAAAACTCGGTTTATTTGATAGATTTGACGGTATATCGTTTTGGGCGTCATCTTGTAGGTACGATATGGAAGGTATGTTTCAACATTGTCTGCACGATTATATGACATCGAATTATTGAAAACATTATATGATATATATATATATATATATATATATATATATATATATATATATATATATATATATATATATATATAAAGGAAAACGGTAAAGGGTTTGCTATCAACGGGTAGTTATGACACAACACATTTATCACCATAGGTAGTTATGACACAGTCAGCCAACAATCGCTAGCGTGTAGTGGCTGTCATTATGGCGTGTAATGACGGACACCTTGCTTACACGCTAAACAACACACCTGGCCTGCATAATGACACACATACTTCAAAATGACCTTCAACTCATTGACCCGCATACAGACACACATATAGACTCACATACAGATACACATACAGTCCCACATACAGACCCACATACAGACCCACATACAGACCCACATACAGACCTACATACAGTCCCACATACATACCTACATACAGTCCCACATACATACCTACCTCACACACACATGCACACACCTAACCCATATACATCTTGCCCACAGTCAAGACCCACACATTTAACCCACTTACACAAAGCCCAACACACCTGACTCACTTACACAAAGCCCAACACACCTGACTCACTTACACAAAGCCCAACACACCTGACTCACTTACACAAAGCCCAACACACCTGACTCACTTACACCAAGCCCAACACACCTGACTCACTTACACAAAGCCCAACACACCTGACTCACTTACACAAAGCCCAACACACCTGACCCACACACCTCACATACACAAAGCCCCAACCATCTAACCCCCACCCCCTCCACTCAGGTGTAGAGAGAGCACACGTGTGAGCATACTGACGACGGTTGCTGCCATACGTGGAAGGAAACTGGTCAAGAGGAGCAGCTTTATTCACAGTGTCAGCGGCCATTCCGTCACGGGCCATCCTTCAGGCCAACTCGCGACGAGCCAGCCCACGAGCCTCCAGCCTAGCTCCCAGAATGTTCCAGTAGAACCTCGCAGAAAAAGCTTGGCAAGTATGATTATGCCACAGAGGAGGAGTGTGGGAAGTGTGATTATGCCGCAGAGAAGGAGTGTGGGAAGTCTGATTATGCCTCCGTTAGAAAAGAAGAGTTTCGTCAGTGTGCCTTCGTCAGACATGACGTCACCGTCTGACTTAAGTGACACGTCGTCCTACACGTCTACAGGCTCGTCCGCGGCAGACTGAGTCGTCGTACAGCATCTGTCATCAATCATTCTACAACACAGTCTGTCATCAATCATTCTATAGCACTATCGGTCATCCTTTATTCTGCTGCACAATCTTTCATCCAGCATAGTCATCCTACATACATCCTTCATGGACTCTCATTAATTTTGTAATTTCTGTTTTCTCTTTAAATGCGAAAAGTATTATTCATGTATGCTGCTGGTTTTTACAAGTAAAAATATAAGTAAAACAAACCGTTTTTTTTAAAGAATTTGTTTGTGTAATTTATAACCAGGAATTTTTTTTTTTTGCATTGTTATGCTTTTTAAAAGATAAATTACAACATAATCGATCACGATTTTAAGGGAATGTAGTTGCAATATCAGTGGTGTAACTAGGTTAGTTGCAATATCAGTGGTGTAACTAGGTTAGTTGCAATATCAGTGGTGTAACTAGCTCAGTTGCAATATCAGTGGTGTAACTAGGTTAGTTGCAATATCAGTGGTGTAACTAGGTTAGTTGCAATATCAGTGGTGTAACTAGGTTAGTTGCAATATCAGTGGTGTAACTAGCTCAGTTGCAATATCAGTGGTGTAACTAGGTTAGTTGCAATATCAGTGGTGTAACTAGCTCAGTTGCAATATCAGTGGTGTAACTAGGTTAGTTGCAATATCAGTGGTGTAACTAGGTTAGTTGCATTTATACTCCTTAAGGGGTTATGCACCGGTTTTTTTTTCTGTTTTTTTTTCCATTTACGATCTAAAGCCGTTTGAATAATATTACCATTTTTGGCACATAAGAGTAAGTATTGAACAGCAAAAAAGAGGGGTTGAAAATAATTTTGGTTGTAATGGAAACCTAAAAAACCTCCGCCATTTTGAATTTTTCGGTATTTTAAAAATGCTAAGGCTTTTTAATTTATGCACTTATAGCAATCAAATTTAAACTGCTTATATTTCAGTACATATTAAAACTTTAATCACGACAACTTTTTGAAATTAAGATTATTAAATACATGAGAAATCCAGCTTTCCAATGATTCCAAATACAATATTATGACGGATATAAAACTTTTCATATAGAGCTTGTAAGATTGGGAAACACTGATTCTTTTTTAATTAATTGGGTCATAAAAATGGTATTTTAATTTAAGCACATAGACAGAAAATTTCTAATTAAAATTATTATTTTCTTAATATAAAAAAATGGACAAAGTATCCAGAAGTTAAATAAACACATAATGACAAAAAACAAGAAATGTGATTTTTTACGCTCACATCCGCTTAAGTCATGGAAGGTGTAATTGAATATTCTTCTCCTGTAATGTTTTATCATTAAAGCATAATATTTTTAATCCAGTTTTTAACACACTCGACCTAAATATTTTTGTGTATCAGTAAACGTCGCTAGACAAATGGAACTTTTGTCAAATTAACACGATCTATTGCTAGTGTTGAAATTGAACAGATCTCTTCCAAAATTGACAAGTTTGATAAGACTCGATAATATATTTTGACCTACACGTCAAGTTCGAAAAAAATCATTACGTCACTGTTTATTACATCGACAGCACACGAGATAAATTTGAGCACGATGCTAATTTCCCCGAGATATCTATCCTAAGATGAAATAAGCACTCTCAAGGAAGCTTGAATGTGTGCGCACCAAATGACAAAAGATGCTGCGCCGTTTTACACTGCGCCGCATAAAACGCGATGACTCAGTTCACACAAACACATGATGTTATGTTTTGATTGTTTTAGACCTTAGAAAATGCCACTGGCTCGATATGGTTAAATGCTTTCCTGGCCCTAGAGTAATGTACATGTTGTATGTGTCATATAACTAGATAATGTCATTTGGTAGTTGTATGTGTCATATCACTAGATAATGTCATTTTGGTAGTTGTATGTGTCATATCACTAGATAATGTCATTTGGTAGTTGTATGTGTCATATCACTAGATAATGTCATTTGGTAGTTGTATGTGTCAAATCACTAGAAAATGTCATTTACTAGTTGTATGTGTCATATCGCTAGATAATGTCATTTGGTAACTTTATGTGTCATATCACTAGATAATGTCATTTGGTAGTTGTATGTGTCATATCACTAGATAATGTCATTTACTAGTTGTATGTGTCATATCACTAGATAATGTCATTTACTAGTTGTATGTGTCATATCATTAGATAATTTCATTTACTAGTTGTATGTGTCATATCACTAGATAATGTCATTTGGTATTTGTATGTGTCATATCACTAGATAATGACATTTGGTAGTTGTATGTGTCATATCACTAGATAATGTCATTTACTAGTTGTATGTGTCATATCACTAGATAATGTCATTTACTAGTTATATGTGTCATATCATTAGATAATTTCATTTACTAGTTGTATGTGTCATATCACTAGATAATGTCATTTGGTAGTTGTATGTGTCATATCACTAGATAATATCATTTACTAGTTGTATGTGTCATATCATTAGATAATGTCATTTGGTAGTTGTATGTGTCATATCATTAGATAATGTCATCTGGTAGTTGTATGTGTCATATCACTAGACAATGACATTTAGTAGTTGTATGTGTCATATCACTAGATAATTTCATTTACTAGTTGTATGTGTCATATCACTAGACAATGACATTTAGTAGTTGTATGTGTCATATCACTAGACAATGACATTTGGTAGTTGTATGTGTCATATCACTAGATAATTTCATTTACTAGTTGTATGTGTCATATCACTAGATAATTTCATTTACTAGTTGTATGTGTCATATCACTAATGTCATTTGGTAGTTGTATGTGTCATATCACTAGATAATGACATTTGGTAACGTTATGAATATTCTTATATTTTAGAGTAATTTCTTTTGTCTTTGTATATTTTAGCCGACCAGCTATAGCTTTGTGCATGTCTTTGTTTATTTGTCAACACTATGGTGGTCTTCAAACGGTAAGTTCATTTTAATTGATCGCTAAACTCGAGCAAATTATTCAAGAAAAATAGTCCACATTTTTTTTTTTGAAATTCTAAAATTTTAACTAAAGCAATATTGAAATAATTTACGAACCACATTATTAACTACATGATATGGCTGTAATGTTACCAGTCAACTTGAACCTCTCAATGGCTGTAATGTTATCAGTCAACTTGAACCTCTCAATGACTGTAATGTTACCAGTCAACTTGAACCTCTCAATGACTGTAATGTTACCAGTCAACTTGAATCTATCAATGACTGTAATGTTACCAGTCAACTTGAATCTCTCAATGGCTGTAATTTTATCAGTCAAATTGAACCTCTCAATGACTGTAATGTTACCAGTCAACTTGAATCTCTCAATGACTGTAATGTTACCAGTCAACTTGAATCTCTCAATGACTGTAATGTTACCAGTCAACTTGAATCTCTCAATGGCTGTAATTTTATCAGTCAATTCTGACCTCTCAATTTCAATAGCCAACATGTTTTCAACACTTAGCTACTTGCAATTTAAAATACACACAGCTCTCTAGAGAACAGAATATTAAAATATGCTGAACACATCTCAGGTTCAGGCTAGAGGTCAAGGTTCACCGTCAGGAAGGATCGTGTTAAGGTTTAATAGGTGTTTTTTTTTTACAATCAGTACTAACTGATATTTTGATGAGATTGTTATGTACCTAAAAACATCCCGACCCCACCCCTTTTCCCCCAGCCCTCCCCAGCAGCACCATGGGAGACTACTTCGTGGCATATCTGCCCCGTCTGCCAGCGGGCAGCACTGCCCAGGCACACGTCATCAGCCCGTTCATCGAGTGCACTAAGGTGACCCAGACGGTGACCTACGTCAGTCCAGCTAACGTCACCACACGAAGTGTCATTCAGACGTGGGCCGCCATCTTTGACATTCCTGTGGATGTCATGTAGGTTCGCTCAATGTCATGCAGGTGCAATTAATGTCATGTATGTTTATTGGATGTCAAGTAGGTTCAGGATGGTATATAGGCTCAACTAAGGGCATGTAGGTTCAGTTAATGTCTTTAGGTTAAACAGATGTCATGTAGGTTCATTGTATGTCATGTAGGTGCAGTTTATGTCATGCAGGTTGATTTGATGTCATGTAAATTCAGATGATTGCATATAGGCTCTACTAATGTCATGTAGGTTCAGTTAAAGTCTTTAGGTTAAACAGATGTCATGTAGGTTCATTGTATGTCATGTAGGATCAATTCGTACATTCTCTATTTTTACTGTTTATTTCATATGTTCCTGCACTTAACTGCACTATTTGCTGGCCTCAATCAAAACTTTATTTTATAAGCGACCTACGTTATCCTTTACAGTTATTTAAATAGTGTTGCCGTATTTTATTTTTTAAAGAAGATCCTCATATTTTAGTTCGTTTGGCTTAAACACGTTTTAACATTTTTATTCTTGTTAACACTTTTGATAACTTTTTTATCACAATATTACTTGCTGTTCTATAAATAGACCAGAATCAACGGGAATATCCGGTGCTATTGTGTACAGAGGCAACGCTAAGTTCAGCTTGGATCTGTTTGTGGGAAATGTGGACAGAAATGAGAGTGACGTCATTCATGTCGTGCCTGTGGCGGGGTTCGGTCGACGGTACTGCATCCGCACTTTTACGTAGGTACACGGGTCCTAGGTACTACATCCATATTTACACGGGTCCTAGGTACTACATCCATATTTAAACGGGTCGTAGGTACTACATTCATATTTACACAAGTCGTAGGTACTACATTCACACCTTTCAGTAGGTACACGGGTCGTAGTACTACACGGGTCGTAAGTTCTACATTCATATTTACACGGGTCGTAGGTACAACATTCATATGCTACACAGGTCGTAGTACTACATTCATATTTACACGGGTCGTATGTACTACATTCAGACGTTACACAGGTATTAGGTACTACATCTACACTTCCCAATAAGTATACCTACACTGTCTTAATTTACTACATTTAGTAGAAGTGTCTTAATTACAAA